AACAATATTGTACTGGATACTCTACGGAGTAATTTAGTCCTGGAAGAAACAAAAATACCGTAAGACTCTGTATTTCCATTTTATATTAATAAGAGACGTTTTCTCCTAGAATTTTGCCCTTTTGATTTGGCTGGGACCTGGATCTAGGAGTAACGTACAGGAGTGTTTCTATTGGAAGCAATTAGGACAGCCACCGTCGAAATAAATTCTACAATAGTTGAGTAGTCCGAGGAATCATTGTAGTTTGTTTTGTGATTCGGGCAACAGACAATCGCGAATGGCTGCAACTTTTGATGAAACTGATGCGATACCTTGAGAATTTATTATGTGTACTAGGAATATCATTGATTTCTTTCCAAATTCAGACTTCTCAACGTTGATGGTGATACCACATTCTTGTAATTTACTGAACAACTGTCTTAGTTGTTGTAGATGTCGTTACGCTGTAGCACTAACTACAAGTATGTCGTCGATGTATACATACACGCCTGACAAACCTCTAACGACCTGGTAGATGAATCTCTGGAAGGTTTGAGCTGCAATAATTAACCCCAAGGGCATTCGCAAAAAATCAAATAATCCGAATGGAATGATTACGGCTGTTTTCGGCATATCCTTCTGCGCCACGAGAATATGGTAATAAGCTCTCACAAGGTTAATTTTCGAAAAGATCGCGGCACCTTCCATGTCGTCAGTAATGTCGTGGATATGTGGCACTGGATATCTATCAGCCAGGGTTTATTTATTAATGTCCAAAATAACGAAGTAGCAGATGCATAATTGTTACGGGAGAAACGAAGACATTTTGCTGATCAAAACCTTCATGTATAAATATCATTAATTTCACTGTTTTTGGGTACATTTGTTTTACTTAACTTATGAACTTGTTTGAATTATTATTTGCGGACATTTTGGACTCCCGTTTCTCTTTGTTGTTCGTTGGCAGTTTTTTGCTCCAAGAGCTAATAAACTAGAAGAACGACATTGGTCGTCTATTTGTAATAAAGTATTTTGGTCGAATTTGTGATTTGGAATAAACTTTGGTATCTACTTTGGAGTTTCGTTCTTGGTATAGAAATTTGGGACCGTGAATTACAAATAGACGACAACCGTGCTTCGTAAGATCAACGAGCAAAAAACTGGACGTAACAATAATCAAGAACGGTGATTAACGCCCTCACCCAATCTGGCGTTGCTTATCGCAAACTCGCGGTGTTGCAAAATATGGATGTTTAACTTAGCATGCTAAGATCCTTCAATATAACTTATTTAGTTCTTCGAGAAACTCTATTCAGCAAGTCAAACTTAATGTGTGATATCTCTGCAGACAAACCACGGCCGTTTATTCCACAGCCGTTAAGACGTAAAGTCTTCGAAACTATATATAACACGTCACATCCCGGAATTCAGGCCACTATCACTCTGATTAGCGAGCGTTTTGTATGGCCAAGTATGAACCGAGATGTTCGCAACTGGATGTAGACATGCAGTGAATGCCAGAAAGTTAAAGTTCATCGTCACACTTGTTCCGCAGTAGGTCCTTTCTGTCACCCAGAGAGCCGAATCGAGCACATACATACCGATATTGTGGGCCCACCACCGATTTTCAGTGGCCTCAGTTATACCTTTACTTGAATGGACAGATCCACACCATGGGCTGTAGCGGTGCCCATAAAAGATATTTCGGAAGAAACTATAGCCAAAACCTTATTCGATGCCAAGACTTCGAAGGCAAGATCTGCCATGCTCACAAGTCAACTGACCATAACTATCAAGCCAATATTTCTACTTGCACCCCATCTTCAAAAAACACAACACACAACCCACCAGATGCCCATCGTGCTTACCTGAAAGATGAGTATTCATCCTATCTAACATTAATGCTAATTAATTCCCAATCTCTAATCAATAAGATGACTCGCCTACGCTCTTTGGTAATTCTAAACAATCCTTCCCTTGTTCTAATTACCGAAAGTTGGTTTTCCTCCGATGTCCCTGTCTCATACCTTCTAATAGACTCTAATGAACTCTTCCATGGTGACCGAGGCACTAAGAAGGGAGATGGTTGCTTCGTCTATGAATCTAGAAACATCAAATCAAAAATGTTTTATGATACTGTTCTTAACAAATTGCCTGATTCGGTCTGGCTCACTGTGCACGCCCATGAATGTAAAATACTGATTGGATGAGTAAATCGAGCTCCAAACACTAATCGAGCGATTGACATTGCTGTTGATGTGTCGTTTGCCCGGGCTGCCTCTCTTAAATTCACCTTGCATTATTTGTGGTGACTCCAACCTCGATTGAATCAAGCGGCAGACACATTCCGGTCCACTACGCTTTGAAAGCGTACTTAATCCCTTAGACGCACATGGTTGGCAACAACATGCGCACCTGCCTACTATAAAGCACAACATTCTCAATTTGGTATTTTGTCACTATGTCACACCAACACCTGTGGTTTGTGAACCGTTTCTTACATGGTTCTCCCTCACTCAGGACACATCTCTGATATTAATATTAACTTTAGCAGTAGGAATAATCTCAGTACCATCAACTTTGAATTTAGCAATATTCAGGCCGCCTTTGGAAAATCGAAACCCAATGGGAGCAATGGTGCGGATGTTATATCATCTATACTCATCAAGATGGCAGGACCAAACATCTATCTCTTTTGCTCAAAATATTTTCGTCATCCATAGACGGTGGTATGTACCCAGAAACCTGGAAACAAACTCATATTGTCCCTCAACATAAATCTAGGCTGAAAGACTTAATCCAAAATTACAGACCGATTAATATCACCCATTATCTCAAGTGTAATGGGGAAAGTGACCGAAGATCAAATATCTGATCACTTGATCAGGGAAGGTTTCACTGACCCCTCACAACGTGGCTTCATTAGACCTAGGTCATGCACCACATGGTTGATAGATTTCTTTAATGAGTTTACCAGCATATGCCACCAAAGGCATCTAGTAATCGTGTTGTATTTTGATATAAAAAAGGCTTTCCATAAGGTACCTCACAATCTCTTAATCAACAGACTTCAGTCCGTCTGGTTACTGGCCGCCTGTTTCAATGGATTGGGTCGTTCCCCTACTACATCTACACCTCGACAAATTGCCAGTGATTTTAAGCAGGGCAGTGTTATACGTTCACTGTTTTTCATAATCTACATCAACAGAATATGCAGTTGTTTCAACACTGGTAAAACCTACCTCTATGCTGATGACATAAAAGTGACTGATCAAACTAACAAATCTGATTTGAACCTGGTGATTGTGTCACAGATGCGGATAGGAATTGGTAATCTGTTCTACGATAAACTGTATCGTGTAACGGAGAAATTACAACGCGATGGCACCTTGTGTTTTACCACTAGCTGTTTATATATGCGCTTTTCTGGGTCTGTAACCGGGGTTGTAGTTCATTAATGAGCAGGATGTAGCAAAATTTTATATAAATAAATGTGGTAATTAATAACATTTTTGTAGTTCCAATTTATTCATGCAATAACATTTGCAGGCTGTAAAATATTTATTTAAATTTAACCTTGGATATCAGCCACTGACTTATTATGTAAATGAGGAATAAGAGTGGGTAGTGGAGATCATCGTAGAAACGTCAACTTCCTCGGTATATTCAGATAAATCCTAACATTCACAATTATTTTTTAGGAGAAGAAGGTGATATGACGGATGGATGAATGAGAAGTTACCTAATGAGAAGCCTATCAGATGACAATCAGCAATGTCCTGAAGAATGAATGCATATGATCTGTTAAGATATGGCTCCTTTCGGATGCATATACATAAATTAGTACTTGTCCACACTATTAGATCGTCAACTATCGCTTTTCTTTTTCTTCTTAACTTTCTGGCTCAAACAATCAGTAATGGGAGGTGAAACATCGTTACTTTCAGCTCTCAAGACAACGCGACCGATCCACCATAATGTTTAACAAAGGATACTGAAGGATATTTTAATGCCTCTACAGAGGCCGTGAATAACGGTCACTGACACTGGAGGTTCATACCACACCAGAACTCTCGACCCCGAAAATTCTGGGATGAGTTCTCTCTCCCTGTTCTTGTGATTGGTCACAACGCGTGATGAAGTTAAATTGTCTCTCAGAAACAGTAAGGGCTTCTAGGTAGTGAGATGCGAAGGCAAAGTATAAAATTGCCATCGATTAGTTCGTGATTGCGGTTTTGGTTATTTCTATACACGAAAAAAGAACTCTTCTTTTCAAACCTCCAAAGTTACGGAGTCCCTGGTTTTGGATGGCTTCATCGAATGTTTGATATCAACATGATTATTTTCATCCAAAGAAAGTGGTTTTTAAACACGACCACCATCCTCTATCAATAAGGTAATTCGTTTGTAACATAAATTGATCTCTCCAATGCATCGAATAAAGTCTGCATAAATTTCGCATCACAGTTGTCAAGCTGATGGATGTCAATTCATAGTTGCTATTTCAGCATGAGTTATATTTAAATAATTATCTTTCTAAAGTTGATGAAAATTCTAAATATTTCACGGCCACTAGATTGTTTAGTCGGGCCCCAAAAGTTTGGCACCATGATATCCTCTCATCTATTTACATGGTTTATCTTCCTCCGTAGGTGTGACCATCAACTAACCGAGGTAACAGATTCGTGTTGGTGCTGATTCAACACAAGAACTTGGCTGGAGAATTGATCAGCTTGTGGTCCAGGATATTCACTTCCAGACACCAGTAGGAAGGATTGACCCTGGCACAGTCTTGTTTAACATGACCGTAGACGAAGCGCTGGGGCAGGACGTAAACGAAGCATACCTTCGCTACACTAGTGTCGATTTCATGCTCACGAGAGAGCATCTAAGCGTCCAATGGCCATCGGAATGGTGTGGGCCAACTGTAAATGATCACTGGTACACAGTAAAAGACGTCATCCAGAATGCTGTCGTACACAATGTGCTTCAGGTATACGACACATTCGGAAATAGAAGAACATGGGTTAGGCGTGGCAATGAACGCTTGTTGCAGGCGAAGAGGAGAGCCTGGAGTTAGTAGAAGGTCTCCTTGAAGGATTCCGATGGCGTTGCGAACCAGATGTAATGCGGAAATTCGGAGTGATAGGAGACGCTTTCAGATGAAGCTAGCTGTCCGTCTACAGACAAAAACCAAGCAGCTTTTCATGAATAAAAGAATCAGGGTCATTGATCTGTCAAAGGTCCGAATGTGAAAGACCTCACTAACCTAGAGATGGCTGAGATCTTCAACACCAACTACGCTGGCTGGTTAAACCAGGTCTCCACATGTTCAGAATACTACGTAAACCTAGTACCAGCTGACGGCTTAGTACTAAAATTCTTACTACCAGGAAAGTCACCACGTTGTGACAATATTCGCCCGATAGTCTTGAAACAATGTGCAGACGTCCTCTGTTCACCGACATGTGACCTGTTCAGGCATTCACTGGAGTCACACCAACTCCCAGCTGAATGGAAACAAGCTACTATCTCTCCAATCTTTAAAGAAGGACTCTGCCTGTTACAGTCCAGTCTCATTACTACCAATACTATCAAAGGTAATGGAAGGGCTGGTGAACGAACAAATGAGGGAGTACATGGATAAGAATAAAATACTCCATGAAGCTCAACACGGGTTTCGGAAAGGCAGTACCCCACGCAGTCCGAATTGCGAAGGTTACGGGAATGGGCTCTATTGACCCACTTCTATCCCGGCTTGGGAACTACATTGAGAACAGAAAGTTTCGCAACAAGGTAAATAAAATTCACGCAAGTTGGTGAGTCTCAACATCGGGAGTTTCACAGGATGCCATCTGAGGTCTACTTTGCTTCTTGATCTGTCAAGCAAAGTTAGCTTGGCGACACTGATCTACGCAAACGATGCAAAGACCTGGAGGCCCATTAGAAGCGAAGAGGATTCGGCTGAGCTTCAGAAGGACCTTACATCCGTTGAGGAATGGTCAGTGAAGAACGGTTTGAAAGTCAACCAACCGAAGTGCCACGTCATGCATATTCTGCCTCACACAACGCAAACGATCTACACCCTCAACGGAAGTCCGCTTCCTAATGTCTACTCATAGCGCAATCTCGGTTTAATAACTACTGGAAGCCTTCAGACTAGTTCGAACTATGTGGGGGACGCAGCCAATGTAAATGCAAATCTTCACTTTATGCGAAGAAAACTGGGTGCTATCACCCCACCATTATTCTTAACGTTATTTAAGACATATACACGCCCACACCTTGAGGCTCATAAAGTCATCGCACACACTCTATCAAAAAAGGATATAAATCTCTGGGATAGATTGCATTGACGTGTAATGAAATAGGTGATAGGGATGAAAAATAAAACTTACGAAGATGGAGTCCAGCACGTGGGATTATTCTCCCTGATTTACAGGAGAATCCGAGGTGATTTGATCCTCGAAAAATTGCTCATCAAAGAGCGAATACTCAAGTTCGTTCACACTTTTTCATTAGGTTTCGGTACAACTTCGAATGCTCTCCCAGCCGAGTTGACCACTGCGCCTCAAGGGAGTGCTTCAAAAAGTGGCTTGATAAACGCGTACTCACATACGGATTATTGTCTCCCTCGTGGACAAGCTGTGCCTGATGCATGCCTTGAGACTTGCCAGTCGCTATTATTGCCATCTCTACAGATGACTGACACATTCCACCTTGCTTAGTATCTTTGTTTACACTCCCTCTCTTGCAAACTAATCATGTCGCACAATCTTCACTAACAATTAATAAACTTAATTATCCATTATTTACTTAATCCTGAAATTATCCTGTTCTTATTAACATCAGATTTTTCTCCTCGTTATTCTCCACACTACAACTAACTGACGTCTGTCCTGCTAACGTGATTGCTGCTGGTATCCAGAAACTCTACTGCCCTGAAATAAACGTATTCATTCAAATCACTGGACATACAAACTCACAAACAACTGCCAACTAGGGCTAGATTCCCTTCATTGGTCACTGAAAAACACCTGGAACCTTACCGGAAGAACAATAATCGAGCGCAAAGAAATCAATTGGTTTATACTAGCTTGTGAAAAAGATATTGGATATTGGATGGCAATACTACTAGTGGCAATGTAAAGGTAACGGTACATTTTGGCTTTCAAGGTCATCCGGAAGAATGACAATATTTTGTAATGTGTGCTGATATTGTGGAAGACGAAGATTCTGATAAACTGACAAAAGTATCAAGCTGCTCACTTACAGATTCACAAATTTATCAGTTATTATACAGTTCGATCGTCAATAAAAACTATGATTGTTTGGAGTGTTATTTAAAGCATTCACATTGTACGTTACGTTGGTATTGTATTGTTGACATTATCTTTAAGTAGATTTTTATGAACCTTTTGAGGCGGATGGGCTTCGCTTGGTAAGTTTCCCGAACCTTTTTTACGTATTCCAACACGAGGACTTCACTCTCTGAATATCCAATGTCTTTTTTTTTACGAGATAGTCATACATTGATTGATTGAATTCTTTCTGCTCAACTCTTGTTCCTTCGGTACGGTTGCAGGTATTTGAGAATCTGAAATCATACGCTTGACAAGAATGCGACTGAAGACCTCAAAATGTATACAATATTTCTTAAAATGACCCTGAGGTTGAAAGATTAGACTGACTGACTATTTCAGTAGGATGGTTATAAACAAACAGACATTTTGAACGCTTAGAATATCAGTAATTGTCTCTCGAGTTAATGCTGAAATGCAGCACAACTATTTAACGGAATAGGCTTTTTGTTTTGGTAAATTAACGCATAAACGCAAATTTTTAAAGTATAAAAGCAAACACCGTTGCCGTTCATGTACTCAATAATGGAGTTACAACGAATATCAGATCTCCTCGGTATATCAGTTACACTAAACAGTTGGCTTAAACAATAACTGATTTTTATACACTATTCACTAAGCTGTAAATACTCGGCAACTAAAGCTTGCTAGGTGACTTGGATAAATTATGCGGTTTTTAATCGATCCGACTTCAGTAATTGATTATTCTTGTTTACTGAAACAGTATGCATTTTTGCAGTTTGACGACGGTGGCTGGATAATTTATATTGTCTCCATTACTTTTAAACGCATAAGTGTTCATCCATTTCTCAGACTTCTCTTAGGACGCGTTTAAGAATTGAGATCTGGTTAGTTTGATAGTGTTTGCATTGTAGTATTATTTTTGCTAATTTATTTTAATTACAATGCACAATAATTAACGTAGAGGGACACTAAAAATCTTGTGCCACACAAAGCAACTCGGTGATATACTGCCAAGAGAAATGAAAATTTCATTTTATTGTTAAACAAATGGAAGTTATTACTAAAACTTGTTACCTTCTGGGGAGTATTAGCCGCCGATACGAATTCTCCTGAACTCTCGTTTCCAATTTTTGCCAGGTTCTACCCATTCTTTTAATGTTTTCCTCTAATTATCGGAGCAACATTTTTTACGGTTTAGGATTTTTCTTTGGTATCTTGATGTATCTTTGTTTGCACCCTGTTGGCACTAATTTTTCTTCCTAAATCTTGCTAAAGAGAGCTTAAGCCATCTTTATAGTTACTGCTGTGTCTACTTTCATTCCCTGGGCTGAAATGCTCTTCGATCCTGCTGCTTTGTCACTCTTGATTTGTTTGATGATCATTCTAACTTCTTCAATTTTTAGTTGATTAGCATCAATTTGTAGGTGCTGCTTGGATATTGGGTTTGTTCAGTGGGGCTGTTCGATTCAAGAGTTCATCAAAGTGCTCTACCCACTTGTTTCAGTGTCAGTGATCACCTTACCTTTCATGTCTATCAATTGTCTTTCTGGTTCACGATAATTTCCAGCAAGCATCTTTGTTGAATCATATAGTTATCTAATGTTTCCTTCTCTTTCAGCTTTTTATGTGGTTGCGTCTAGATATTCCATAGTTTTATCTCAAATTCTACGATATTCGTTTTTAAACAGTCAGTTGAAGTTACAATTTATTTTATTCCCCCTTTTTTTGTTCTTCATCAAAATGGAAATGTTTCAACTATTTTAATCCAAATTCTAAGTTTACTTGTATATGGGGAATTTCTTTTCATACATCTCATAATTTACTTTATCATGTATTATTTTTCAACAAAAATATTTAGCCACTTCTATATCATGCTATTCGATTGGGTAATTTGGATGCATGTAAATTACTTGTAAAGCATGGTTTAAATCCACTTATATGTATTGGTATTTGCCAACAAAATGAAACAAAATTCAATTGTGAAGATATCCTACAATTTACATCTCGTTTTACATCAAATTCAACTCATCATAAAACTATCGCATTTTTATTTCAAATAGTTCTATGTGAGTGAAATTCATTTTAACTATTTATTATAAATTATATGTGTTCATTAGTGATTAGCTTCATAAGGTAATTCTCAAAGGTCTAGTGAGAAGCCGTGACTAATGGATGTAGGCAGTAACTACCGAAGAGAGTGGGTGAAGTTGCGCAAAACATAAGATCATTCAAAATTAGACATTTATATCGTTCATGGTCTAAAGGTTAGACGTTCGCTGATGTGGCCAAAGTTCCCTAGGTTCGATTCCCGCGAATAGCAAGGGTCGTGGATACACAGTTCTGAAGAGCCCCATACCAGGACGAAACGGTTTTTCAGTGCTTCTAGGTTTCTGTTGGTGGCCGAACAATGATTGATTCATGATTTCAGTGTTAATGTTTTATTTTTTCGCTTGTGTTGATATTAAATTTTGTAATTTCAATCAGTTCGAACCCCAAAGACATAGTAATCAACATTTAATCAATATTGAGAGTATTAAATGGTTAGAGTTGTAATTTATATTCTCAATGCATTTAATTAAGATAGTATGTTAGGACAATGACAAGTGGACTGAGTCATGTTGGTAGATGTAGGCTAACTGGTTGGTGTCCACGGGACGAAAGTCACTGGTGGTAAGATACCTTGAACGACATGGCTCAAAATCGTTTGCAATAGCGCAGGTGCATTCATTCATTGTGTTCTCTGGCAATTTTAAACTTTTGAATTCCTCATCATCTCTATCTTTCTCTTTTTAAGTTTATTTCAATAGTTTCTACTTTTCAAATCATATCTTCGAACCCTAATCTTCTCCATTACCGGTAATACTTCTGCTATGACTATCACAATGGGATTTGAACTGACATTTGCGTCTCTGTGGTGATGAATTATGGCAACCTGAACACCTGTACTGATATACGAAGTTGTATGTTGCTGTTGACTGTCTGACTCATATTAAATAAATAATGTTCCTGTTGTAACGCTTGCTTAGATAATTCCCAGCTAAATCCTATTGCTTAGTATTCTCTGACTACATAATACACTGGACAAGTTCCAAAGAATCAAAAACACGGTTGAACAGGAAAAGATTATATTCCAAATAGCAAGGTTAAATGGAAATAAGAAGCCAAAGGTGATGGCGAAGGCGAAGGCCAAAAATAGATACAACGTTAGTTTATTTATAGCATTTACATGAAAAGCTTCTGGATAGAAATTCACGTGATCGACCGGATTAGATTTAACCAATCAGCACGCAGCTAACAATACGAGAATTTTCTACCCTGTTCTCCAAAAATCCATCAGGCACTGATTGGATAGGGAATTAGCCAATCAGCGCGCAGCAACGTAGTAATGCTTTAATTCCATCTATGTCCCACTAACAGTTCCTCATAAAGGATTCTATAATTAGTCAGTGATTAAAGAGAAACACGAATGGACGTATCACATAAAATGCACTGATTTAATATTTCAATTGATTCTATCACTGGCATATTGAATTTCCCCTCTGTGCTTGGTATCAACATGCTTCTGTTGTTGTTATTGTCGTCATCATCTCCTATACCTGGTTCTTAATCGAACAGTCAGATTATTTGTTTGAAGTCACCTTACTTAGTGAATTCCCATTTTGTAGCATTTTAGACTGTGTGTTCGCAAAGACACGTAGTGGAGTCATGATAACAGCCTGTATCAGAAGTATAAGTTATCCAAGGATAAAAATAATAACAAAGTTATCTTTCCGATCTTTCACTTTCTACCCTTCAAAACACTGTCCAGGGAAATAAGAACTAGAAGTGTGTGGTCAGTCAGTCAGTCAGTTACAACGCAGAACATCGTACGTATGTACATCAGTTGAAGATGCCATTATCACATTAGCACAGAGACGCCACTGTCAGTCGAAATCCAATAGTGGTGGAGATATTAGAAGTATAAGCGATAATGGGAAAGATTAACGTTCGAAGACATGATTCGAGAAGTATGATCAGTGAGATAACTTTAGAAAGAAAAAAGATAGAGATGATGAGGAACTCTGAAGATTACAATTTGAGAGAAAACAGAGAGTAGATGCACCTGCACCATTCCAAACGGTTTTGAGCCATGACATTCAAGGTCTCTAACCATTATGACTTTCGTCTCGCGGACCACAACCAAGTAGCCTACATCTACCATCATGACTCAATATACTTCATGGATTTGTGTCATGTTTTGGTTTGTCCGCCCCTAACTTTCTTCATACCTACCCCTACACCGCAAAACATAACTTGTCGAGACGGTTGGTGGCGAAGTATTAGGTCATTGAAATTCATCAACAGAAAGTCAATTCAAATTCCATAGTAGAAGTAGAGGAATTAGAAGTATTAGCATCGCTAGAGAAGATTCAGGTTCGAAAATATAATTCCAGTAGTATAATTCAGTGAAATAAATTGATAAAGAGAAATTCAAAAGATTAGAATTTGACACAAGATAAAAAAAAACACCGCTTACAAATGTCACGCGGACTTCAACCAGGTAGCAGCAGCAGTCTACACCTGTGTTAACATAACCCAGTTCATTTGTCAATAATTTTCCAATAAATAAATATCACTTATATTTCATTGGTCAAATTGTATTTATTTAATAAATATGAGTGAGAAGACATGACCAATAGAGTTCAACCCTGTGTCGGGTGTAGACAATAACTACCCAAAGATAAATAGGTGAGATCGCGCGAATTTCCTAGATCAATCAGAGTTAAACATTAACACCGTTGGATACCGTCGCACTGGTCCTAAAGGTTAAATGTTCGTGCACAAAACCGAAGATCCCGGGTTCGAATCCTGTGCGAGGTGCAGGAGTCGTGGATTCGCACTGCCACTGATAAGTCATTCCCATACCAGGACAAGATGGTCGTCCAGCAGTGTTTGCAGGTTTCTAATGGTGCCAGTCTAACACAATGATTGATTGATCGATTATTTCAAATGTGCGAAAACAGTAATCTCCATACCTCATATATATATATATATATATATATTTTTTTTTTTTTGGTGTTTATTATTTTCACAATTTGTTTTTTTCTAACAAACAGTCTTATTATTTAGTTCTTTACTTTTTTGCACCACATTTTTAGATAAATTAATTACTAGTAAGTCTCTTTTTGATTGATTGTATTTTGATTTTTTTTTGTTGTCTAAAAATACTTTTTTTATCATGTGATTTTATTGACATTCTACAGTAGTCTACAGTAGTGGCACCAGTTTTCAATGATAATAACCAACAAGTAAAATTAAATGCTGGAACACGTTTGTTGTCAGTAAATTTCTAGAAAAAATTCTAATACCACTGATTTTTTGGTGTTGTTGTTGATGTTGAAATCAATTCGCTGATCATAAAATTGTTTAAAATGATGATAAAATCAACGTGGAGTTTGACACACACATATAGATATATATATGTGTGTGTTGCTGCATAGAATGGATAAAATGATCAAGATCAATACTGTCATAATAGAAGTGTTAATTAGGTTGATTACATTTTGTTTTTCGTAGTTTATTTAAAACTGATTTCTTGGCCTTGAGTCATATGATTCAAATAACTTGGTCGATGTACAGTCTAGGTAGTTAGTTCAAAGAGCATTACAATCATTTCATTCTGGTATCAATTAATAGACGGAGTCTCATTAGTGCTGATGGTCTGGTGACTGACGAAATCTCAGCTCGGATACAGAAGGCTCGATTGGCTTTTGCCAACCTGCGTCACTTATGACGTAGGCGAGATATCCGTCTGCTGACTAAAGGACGAGTCTACTGCGCAGTAGTTCGCTGTGTCCTATTATATGGCTGTGAAACATGGCCGTTAAGAGTAGAAGACATTCGTAGTTTACTAGTCTTCGATCATCGATGTCTCCGAAGCATTGCTCGTGTATCCTGGGACGACTGAGTAAGCAATGCTATCGTTAGGAAACGAGATCTAGGTAAGGATGGAAGATAAATAGATGACGTATTGAATCTTCATCAGTTGAGGTGGTTAGGACATGTGTTATGTTTGGCTAACCACCGACTGCCTCGACGAGCTATGTTTTGTGGTGTAGGAGTAGGTTGGAAGAAAACTAGGGGCGGCCAGACCAAAACATGGCAGAAATCCGTGAAGTGACTGGGAAGTGAACTGAGCCTTGTCGGTAATTGTCGACTACCTGGTTGGGGTCCGCGAGATGATAATAATCGATGGTTAGAGACCTTGAACGACATGGCTCAGAATTGTGTGCAATAGCGCACGTGCATCGACTCTTTGTGTGCTTTTTAATTCTAACCTTCTGAATTCCTCATAATCTCTATCTTTCTCCTTCTAAATTTTTCCCACTGAATCATACTTTTAAATCATATCTTCGCTCCCTAATCTTCTCCATTACTGCTAATACTTCTATTATTGCTATCACTTTTGGATTTTAACTGACAGTTACGTCTCTGTGCTGACATGGTATTGCAACCTCAATTGATGTACTTATGTACGAAGTTCTGCGTTGTATCTGTCTGTCTGTCTATCAGTTAATAAATGTCTACAGCGGTAACATTCAATTGTATTTGTGATGAGTCAATCGAGTTATATTGTCTGAAATACATACTCATTTAGGTTCGTTTATGCCAGGAAGTTCGGTTACAAAATGGTAAGTTAAAAATGGCAACTGAAGGTTTGATGGTGAAGTTGTACTATCAACTGTTTTGAGGTATGACGTCAGTTAGATGTTTCTTTCAGAGAAACCGGATCTACGCCAATGCTTCCTTCGCATACCTAAAGGAATGAATGGGTTAGAAAAATTCGGCCATACAAATAGCACATCCACGAATCTCCAGCCTCTACGATAAGGTCGAAGCTGACACATCAAGAACTACTCACAAATGGTTGTTCTTTTGTTTCTATTTAGTCACTCTCAGGTCACTGGAACTTAGTTTTTTTTATCAAGTGTTCCAGGTAGTAGCTTTTTTGGTATGGAGCTTTTGGAACTGACAACTACCTACAAACTTCAAAATATCTAAATTATCATTTAATCAATGTTGGTTACTAGCTATAATATAGATCCCCAGAATTCCTGGGAAAATTCGCTACCGATAGAGTTCAGCCATTTCAAGGAGTAAGACAGTCATTGGTTGATATTCTCTCCGTATTACATTGATACGCTGGAAACTATTATGAGTTCACCTTACTCGGTTAACGAGAGCGAAGCAATGATCCAGTGACACGATAGGCTACTCTAATCCGTTTTCCCAGGCCCTGCTAACTATAGCAAAAAGTCTTGACAAGGCGTAAAACGTGTATTCTACAAGCACCCAGAAAAATATGAGTTTGACAAGCACACACATATCAAGCTTATTTATATATGATAGAAACGTCCTTGAGAGAGCCACAAAAATAGCGTACTAAAATAATCCATCAACCAATAACAACAGTCAAGGGTTTTCCGATTGGGAAATGTAATCTCAAGATCAACTGATCAGCCCATGCACGAAAACACAAAATTCCAAAATTAGTACCTTTATCAAGTGAATTCTGGGGATCTAACATTCCCAACACACCTGTTGATATTAGACTTACGCAATGTGAATTGTTGAAATGCGATAGTCAATGATTGATTTTATGACTTATGACTTGATATATACTTCTTGTTAGTATAATGTGCATCACCAATTTACCTAAGACCGCTACTATTGTGGTGTGAGCTACTTATAAGCAGTATATGACGTGAGTGTCAACGTAATGTCTGACAGCAGAAGATAGGGGAAGATAAAGAAAGGAAGAGTGGGAACACAATGGAATTTGTATGAAACGCATGAATAGTGACAATAAATTGATTTTTTGCAACAGTAACAGTCCAGTTCGATATGATGAACTGATATTTTGCAAATTAACGATTTACGCGATATGGTTTTCCTATTTTACTGAGTAACTCTGTAATTTTCTTTAAATACATTTCGTTTGCCCTCACCTGTGTTCTCCTTCACTACACTATTTCATCTCAAATATAAAACTTCTCAACAGTACTTCATCATCGACCACTTCACCGATGGGGTTCAGTTTTGCATCTTTAGGTTTCTTTTTTGTTATCAGTTTTCACTTAGTCTTTAAACTGTCAACTTAACAATCTACTACTAAAAACACTCTTTTTTACTAAAAATACACATAATATTGACATGAGAAAACCAAAAAAAATAAGAAATTAATTTCTATGTTTCGCTTTATTTAGTATGATGATGATGATTAATATGACGTATGTTTAGCATAAAATGCCATTTTCACACTGAGATAATCAATCACATGTTTGGATTTTATGTTAAGATAGAAAAATGTTAAGTCATACATTACTTACTTACTTACTTACTTACTTACTTACGCCTGTTACCCCCAATGGAGCATAGGCCTCAGTTGAGTGCTTTTCGCAGTGTGTGTCCTATCCACCAACTCCACCGCTTCTTCCTGATTTCCTCCTCCACTGGAATCTGGTTTATTCTCTCCCATAGTAAGTTGTTGCTGATCATGTCTGGCCAATGAATCCGAAGTATCTTGCGAAGTCAACTAACTGTTCATAAATACTTGTATCTTCTGTATGATGGCTTTGGTAGTTCTCCAAGTTTTCGCTCCATACAGTGGAACTGTCTTGACATTTGTATTGAAAATAAAGTGTTACGCCTGCACGTAAACACGTCAACCTGATATACTTGAACTATTACGAGTTTGCCTAGTCGGAAACGAGAGCGAGGATCCGGTGACACGACATTTTACTCAAATCCGATTATTACAACCCCCATATTTAGTTAAAATAAAAAGACTTGATATGAAGTAGAATCTGTATTCTACTAGCATCCAGAAAGTAGGAGGTTCGAATCCAGAAGAGAATCAGGATCCCGGACTAGGGATCTGGGGCCGAGCCCTGGTCGTGGTTAATAAACGTTACAGATAATGCGTATTTATACATTTTGGTCGAATAGGAAACAGCATCGAATTCTGTGGCATTGATAGTTAAGACTACCAATAGGAAGTAACATTAGAAGTAACATTGATAATCAGGACAACCAATAAGAGACAACATTGAAGTATTTGACTTTGACAGTTATAACGACCATAATTTTGACCAATAGAAATCGACCAATAGGAATTGACCAATAATTCTCTTAGGATGTTGGATGAATATCCTAACATAAAGTCATATATATATACTTCTGCATCATAGTATTATGTAGATCGTTATTTTACATGTATCGACCAATGTTAAACCAGCATTAGAAACCTAGAAGCACTGGACGGCCATTTTGTCATGGTATAGGATTCATCAACACTGTGCATCCGCGATTTCTGCTGATGTGTCCTATACCATGTCGAAACGGTTGTCCAATGCTTCCAGGCTCCTAATGGTGGTCTAACAATGATTCGTGTTAGGATATTCATCCAATATCCTAACAGAATTATTGGTCACTTCCTATGGGTTAATTCCTACTGGTCAATATTATGATCGTCCTAGATATCAATATCACATACTCCAATGTTGTTTCTTATTGGTCGTCCTGACTGTCAATGTCACAGACTTCGATGCTGTTTCCTATTCGACCTAAACGTATAGATACGCATTACGGACCGGACCCGGAACCTCAGTCCGGGATCCGTGTCTTCTTCTGGATTCGAACCTCGTACTTTCTGGATGCTTGTAGAATACATGTTCTACTTCATACCAAGTCTTCTTCCATATTCAATGGGGGTTGGGACACTCGGATTAGGAGTGGCATGTCGTGTCGCCGGATCCTTGCTGCTCGCTCTTGTTTTCCGACTAAGGTAAACTCGTAATCATAATTCAAGCATATCAAAATGACATGTTTACGTTCATGTGTAACAACTATTCGATTCATGATTTCAACATAAAACATATATACTTCTGCTTACTTTTGTATACATTCTATTCTAAATATATATATACATGCCTATCTTTTAATCTCATTAGACTTAGTCGAAGCTTGTCACAAAAGTAATGCTGATGAATCAATTGAACAATGGTTACCATCAATCCAATATTTACAACGTATTCATTGTACAATTAAAAAATTTGCTAGTAGACAATGTGATCATCACATAAAGAATTTATCAAATTCATTTAATCATTTATTATCAATCAATCATGTTGTGGATAATGTTGTTATTATTAATAAGCCATCTACTATTATTATTCATCAACAACCATTAACTCATCGAATATCATCTAAATTGAAAAATTTCCTATTCACTAAACGTTTATCATTATTAAAGATTGATAATGAGTCTAATCAACATTATGAATTAATGATGATGACAGAAGAGAATGAAGCGAAGACGCCGCATGTAGACAAAGAAGAAGGTGATGAGGAACAACAGAAACAGCAACTTTTATCCGAATTACTGTCATCATCATCATCAGAAGAAGAAGAAGAACTGATGCTACGTTGGAATTCTGATGATAAGTTTAAACTGTGTCATTTATTATCAGTGGTAGAGTTTTGGGAATGGGCAAGAAATCAAGTAAAACCGTTATTACTTATGTAAGTCAGTTGAAATGTTTTTATAGCCAATGAAACTGATTGTTTTATTCGTCAATAACTGAAATAGGTGGATTTCTTAGGCGGCCAATTTCCGAGCTTCAGATCAAAAGGCCTAGTCTATAAGGTAATGGAGCAATGTCAGAATATCCAATTAATTAGTAGACCATTATCAACACTAGTGTCGTACTCCATATGTTCCCTCAAGATTCTGGAGTCCATGTTCACAATCGGTTAGAAATCAAGGTTTTCCAACTGCCCTAGGTGGATCCTGTGTATGCCCACCAATCGGGTTAAAGCTCCCGCTTGACATTCGCTTTTCGTCCTCAGTATAGTCAGTCGATAACACCGCGAGAAGGTAGTGAGTTGGACTTTCTTAGCAGTAGACTTATACGCGTGACCATGTGAAAGTATTTAAAGAGAGAGAGAGTGGGCTCTCCCCACTCGCGGCCATGCTCGGCCATTTGGCTGCTCTAAACACGTTAATTATTTATTAATCCTGTGATTTTTGTGTGCTGTTATATGCATACTAGCAGCTGGTCGAAGAAAACGTTGAGTCACACAGCTCGAAATAGGTCACAATGATCTAAGTGGATAATTCACTATTTAGTCTAGACTTTTGAGTCCCATGTATCCTTTCATACGTGTATTTCCTTTTTTATCCTTGTAAATCATATTCTCAATGTTTAGTCAGTCCCATTATAATTACTACTGTGGTGGATACTATTTACAACGTGGATTCTAAGTAGTATGCAGCGAAATGTCTTACAAGCCTATTTCTATGGCGAATATAACTGATTAACCAACAACATATTATGTAATACTCAGTAAGTCAATCAGTCTGTCAACAGCAACATAGGACTTCGTACATATGTACATCAGTTCAAGTTGCCACTTACCACATTAACACAGAGGTGCAATAGTCACTTCAAGTCCCATAGTAGCAGATATAGTAGGAGTATATTAGCAGTAATCGGAAAGATTAGGGTTCGAAGATATTCAAGAAGTAGAATCTAGTGAAATAAACTTTATAAAGAAAAAGGTGATGAGGAACTCTGAAGGTTAGAATTTGGGAGAACACAATGTGAATGAATGCACCTACGCCATTGCAAACAGTTGCGAGCCATGTCATTCATAGTCTCTGACCATCGATTACTATCATCTCAAGGGCCTCAATCAGGTATGTAGTACTGTAATGCTGATCGTATCAGTTTCATCTTTGATTGATTGATTTAATTTAAAGTTCAATGTTTTGTTTTAATTTTGTTCAAGTCTTCTTGTGACAATCACAGAGGAGTCAGTTTAACTAATGTAGTGTCTAAATTATTAGCGTCGATAATACTTAACCGCCTGACTAGCGCTTGTAAAGAGCTGACTGAAGAAAACCAGGTTGGTTTCAGACTTGGACGTGACCCTATAGACCACATCTTCACACTACGACAGGTCCTGGAACACGGTCACACATTTAAGCGTCTTACAATAGTTGTTTTCCTGGACCTTAAGGCGGCATTCGACTCAGTGGACCGTGAGGTTCTGTGGCAGTGTCTGTCACTGAAAGGTGTACCAATGAAGTACATTAACGTCATACAAGCTCTCTACTGAAACACTACTGGTCGAGTGATAGCTTATGGCGAACTGTCACCGGAATTCTTTACTTCAAGTGGTGTCCGTCAGGGCTGTCAACTCTCCCCATTCTTGTTTAAATTTGTCGTAGACATCCTCTTAAAGTTGACATTAAGCTCGTCAGATTTTTCAGGGGTTGACCTTCTACCTGGAAATTCGCTTACTGATCTAGAATATGCCGATGACATAGCTCTATTTGGTGAAGACGCTGACAAAATGCAGAGTCTTCTGACTACCCTAAGCAACAATGCAAGCATGTTCGGGATGCGATTCTCACCCTCGAAATGCAAAATGTTGCTTCAAGATTGGGTTTCATCGGCACCTGAACTAGTGATAGGGAGTGAAGTAGTCGAGCGTGTTGACCACTTCAGTTATCTTGGCAGTCTCATCAGTGTTGATGGCCTGGTGACTGACGAAATCTCAGCACGGAAACAGAAGGCTCGATTGGCTTTTGCCAACCTGCGTCACTTATGGCGTAGGCGTGATATCCGTTCGCTAACCAAAGGACGAGTGTACTGTGCAGCAGTTCACTCCGTCTTACTATACGGATGCGAAATATGGCCTTTAAGAGTAGAGGACATTTGTAGGTTACTAGTCTTAGATGACGATGTCTCCGAAGCATTGCTCGTGTATCCTGGGACAACCGAGTAAGCAATTCTGTTGTCAGGAAACGACTACTAAGTAGGGATAGAAAATCAATAGATGAATTATCGAAACTTCATCAGTTGAGGTGATTGGGACATCTGCTGCGTATGCTCAACCACCGACTGCCTCGTCGAGTTTTGTTTTGTAGTGTAGGAATAGGTTGGAAGAAAGTTAGGGGCGGCCAGACCGAAACATGGCAGAAATCCATGAAGTCATTGACAAGTGGACTGAGTCATGTTGGTAGATGTAGGCTACGTGGTTGGTGTCCGCTGGATGATAATAATCGATGGTTAGATACCCTGAATGACATGGCTCAAAATCGTTTGCAATGGCGCCGGTGCATTTATTTTTTGTGTTCTCTCAAATCCTAATCTTCCTTATTTCTCATCACTTTATGTTTTTAAGTCTATTTCACTAGTTTCTACTTCTTGAACAATATCTTCTAATCCTAACCTCTCCGATTACTTCTACTACTTTTACTACCTCTTCTACTATTGAATTTGAATTGACAATTATATCCCTCTGTGCTAATGTGGTATGGCAACATGAACTGATGTACTTACGTACAAAGTTCTACGTTGCATCTGACTGACTGACTGAATTTTATTCAAAGCAATCATACCTTCTCATGTTCATATATATATATAATTTTTTCTTTTTAATTATAGATGTGTACAAAATAATTACATCAAATGCCTTGATAAATTATTACAAATTGGTTTTCAAATTATCCCTATACATTGTCCTACATCAATCTCTTCAACATCTGAGCAAGTTGTCGAATTGTTGAATTTCAATCAACAATACTCAAAATCTAATCATGCATTGAATATTTTCATTGAAGATATGAACTCTGTACAAAAACAACATCATTTATGGATTGAATCAATTTGTGCCAATCAACAACAAAGTGCCATTCATGCAGCTGTACAATTCAATAAACTGGAAGCATTGAAGTTAATCATTCAAGTATGTGTGTCAAGGCATATTGATATTGATTTTATCGGGGTACACACATTCTTTTTGAATAAATAATATCAATGTTCAAAAGACTATAGAGTTGACATCATGGATTGATTTTGATTTTTTGCTTAGTGTTAAATAGCTATTGAAAGCCAAGAAATTCAGTTAGTCAGTTAGTCAGTCAGTCGATTACAATGTAGAACTTTGTACGTATGTATGTCACATTAGTTCAAGTTGCCGTTACTATATTAGCACAGAGATAGAGATGGAATTGTCAATGCAAATCACCGTAGTAGTAGGAGTGTAGTGAATGAGAACACAGGTGAGGGCAACCGAATTGTATTGAACGAAAATTACAGAGTTTCTCAGTAAAATACGAAAACCATATCGTAAATGGTTAATTAGCAAATCTTCAATCCATCATCAATCCATTGTCTGACATTTCACTTATTCATGCATTTCATACAAATTCCATTGTGTTCCCACTCTTCTTCCTTTCTTGATCTTCCCTCATCTTCTGCTGCCAGACATTACGTTTACACTCGCGTTATATACTACTTATAAGTAGCGCGCACCACAGTGGTAGTAGTGGTAGTAGACGTATTTGCAGAAAAAAAAGATTGCTGATCGGATATATCATTCAAGATGTATACCACGGAGGAATCGATTGAAAAAAAAGCAGTCATGAGGAAATCAGAAGATTAGGGTTTGAGAGAATACAAAGAATGGATGCATCCACGCCATTTCAAACGGTTTTGAGCTGTCATTCAAGGGCTCTAACCATTGGTGACTCTCGTCTCGCTTACCCCAACCAGGTAGCCTACATCTACCAATATGACTCAGTCCACTTGTCTGTGACTTTAGGGATTTCTACCATGTTTTGGTTTGGCCGCCCCTAACTTTCTTCCAACCTACTCTTACACCACAAACATAGCTCGATGAGGCAGTCGGTGGGTAGACATTCGTAACACATGTCTTAACCACCTCAACTGATGAAGTTTTAATACTCCATCTGTTGATTTGCTATCCCTTCCTAGTACTCGTTTCCTAACGCAGGATTGCCCACTGGGTTGTCCCAGGATATACGAGCAATGCTTCGAAGACACCTATGATCGAAAACCAGTAACCTACGTATGTCTTCTACTCTTAACGACCATATTTCGCAGCCATATAGTAGGACAGAGCGAACTACTGCGCAGTAGACTTGTCCTTTGGTCAGCAGACTGATTGATATCTCGCCTACGCCATAAGTGACGCAACGTGGCAAAAGCCAATCGGGCTTTCTGTATCCTTACTGAGATTTCGCTAGTCACCAGGCCATCGGCACTGATGAGACTTCCAAGATAAGTGAAGCGGTCGACACGCTCAACTGCTTCACTCTTTATTAGAAAACCAAGAAATATTATCGACAATAATATCATGTATTCATTGTATTTGAACATGTAAATCACTTAATACCAGATTAGTAGTCTAAAAGCTAAGCCATGAACCAGTGGAGTTCAACTCTGTCGAATGTAGGCAGTAACTACCGAAGATAGCGGTGAGGTTGCGCATTATGAAGGATTGATTAAAGATAGACATTAACACCGTTAGATACACCTGCTCAATGGTCTTGAGGTTAAGTGTTCTCGCGCGAGACCGAGTGCCCTGGGTTTAAGTCTCGTGAGCGGAGGTCGTGGTCGCTCACGGCTGGTGAGTCCCATATTAAGACTAAACGGTCGTCCAGTGCTTCCTAGTTTCTAATGGTGGTCTTACAATGATCGATTCATAATGTCGATAAAGACTGTTTCATCTGAAGTTTAAGATTTTTCAGTGGTAAACTGTTGAATACTTTGAAAAGGTCTTCGAAAACCGGAAATACCTTATGAAATCAGCGTTCAGTAGAGACGTACCTAGAAGTTTTGAAGGAACGACCTATTATGTGTTACATCGTGATTGAATAATTATCAATTTTGTTTGGTAATGTGGAGATTTTTGAGTTTCATTTAAGTCTCGCGCGTGACTGACGCTCCCGGTTACGACTCCTGTGTGTAGGGTCTTGGGTGCGCACTACTGAGTAGTCCCATACTGGGATGTTCATCGTTTTCACATTTCCGTTTAGTGATCTAGCACTAATCAGTTCATGATTTCAATGAAACTGTAGCATACTTTCAGAAAACCCTAGAATATTAAAATTTCGCGTAAATCTATAAATATCCTGGTTTTCTGTACCTAAACCCATCTTGGAAGTAAAGCTTCATTCCAAATTTCTAGTCTTTCTCCTTTTACTCAAGATACAAGTACAGCAGACTTCTAAATGTCTAAGAAATAATTTAAAGTCAGCATTAAAAGTTTAAGTATATGACCTACGCTGAACATCCAGAATGTTGGGCAGAATTTCATTCAGCACTTACAGATCTTATGATGAGTGTCAGTAAACCCCAAAAGAAATGCTTTTCAAAACTACATTCTTTCTAAAAAAAATTCCATTTTAGTGTATTTTAGAAATGTAAGACATGTACTATGTGAATCCTTCCTTCCTCTCCACCTTCATCATCATTCAATTTTTCGTATTCTTTCTTTATTCAACACTAGTGGGAACCAAATTCATTGGCTGTTACTATTGGTGATAACAATCAGACAATGGGCATATTACCAATTCATATCGCATGTGCTCTTAATCATTTGGATTGTTTAAAATTAATGTTAAACATAACTATACCTCCTACATACCATTTTGAAAGTATTCATACTCCTGATCAAAGTATTGAGACAAAACAGTGTAGTTTATTTTCTTGTCGAATCAATGAATCACCAGCACTGTATCAACATTATTTCTGGTAAGTTCACTTAGTTAGCCATTTATTTTACATGTTATAGGCGTTTGTTTGAAAGATGTGGGTTGAAATTCTCTTCTTGATCATTATTGAATTGGCTTGGATATGTTTTTAATCTTGGCTATAATAGATGAAGTATTGAAATTTTATCAGTTGTGGTGGTTGGGACATCTACGGCATATGCCTAACCACCGGCTGCCTCATCGAGCTATGTTTTGAGACGTAGGAATAGGTTGAACGAAAGCGAAGGGCGGCCAGACTGAAACATGGCTGAAATCCATGAAGTTACTGACAACTGGACTGAGTCATGTCAGTAGGTTCTGACTACCTGGTTGGGGTCCGCTAGACGATAGTAATCGATGGTAAGAGACCTTGAATGACATGGCTTAAAATCGTTTGCATGGGCGCAGGTGTATCCATTCTTTGTGTTCTCTCAAATCCTAATCTTCTGAATCGCTCATCACTTTTATCTTTCTCTCTAAGTTTTTTTCACTGAATTGTACTTCGTGAACAGTTTCTTCGAACCCTAATCTACCCCCTTACCGGTAATACTTTACTACCTCTACCACTATGGGCTTTGAACTGACAATTGTCTCTCTGTGCTGTCATGCCTGCACGTAAACACGTCAACTTGATATACTTGAGCTATTACGAGTTTACCTAGTCGGGAAACGAGAGCGAGGATCGAGGATCCGGCGACCCGACATACTACTCAAATCCGATTATCCCAACCCCCATATTCAGTGAAAATAAGAAGACATGATATGAAGTAGAATCTGTATTCTACAAGCATCCAGAAAGTACAAGGTCCGAGTCCAGAAGAGAATCAGGATCCGGGACCGGATCCTGGTCCTGGTCATAAAACGTTACAAATAATGCGTATTTATACATTTTGGTCGAATAGGAAACAGCATCGAATTCTGTGACATTGACAGTTTAGAACGACCAATAAGAAGCAACATTTGAAGTGACATTGATAGTCAGGACAACCAATAAGAAGCAACATCGAAGCACGTGACATCTATTGACCAGTAGGAATGAACCAATAGGAATCGACCAATAATCCTCTTAGGAGATTAGATCATTATCCTAACGTTGCTAAAGAACCCAAACAAACTTGACATCATCAATCACTTCTCAATGACCGATACTTTTACACCTCTTCTAATGAATTGATCTTTATAAAGAGTTTTTCATTATAGATTTGTAAAGATTGTTGAGCTTTATTGAAATCATGAATCAATAATTAGTGAGAAAATTCTCGGAGTTCTAGTAAGAAGCTATGAACTGTGTAGTTCAATTCAGTTGGTTTGTAAGCAGTTACCTATCGAAGACAGTGGATGAAGTTGCACAAGGTCGTGAATTGACCAAAGTTAGACATTAGCACCGTCGACTGCCTGTTCAGTGGTCTAGATGTTAAGCATTCGTCAGTCAGTCAGTCAATTGCAACGTAGAACTTCCTACGTATGTACATAAGTTCATGTTGCTGCCATACCACATGAGCACACACAGACGCAAACGTCAAATCAAATCCCATAGTGATAAAGATAGTAGAGTTATTAATGGTAATGAAGAAGACTAGGATTAGAAGATATTATTCAAGAAGTATAATTCAGTGAGATAAGGTTAGAAAGACAAAGGTAAGGGTGCTGACGAATCCAGAAGATAAGGATTTGAGAGAGCTCAACGAATGGATGCATCCGCAACATTGAAAATGGTTTTGATCCGTGTCCATTCAAGGTCTCTAACCATCGATCATTATCATCTCGCGGACCCCAACCAGGTAGTCTACATCTACCAACATGACTCTGTCCACTTGTCAGTGAATTCATAGATTTCTGCCATGTTTTGGTTTGGCCGCCTCTAGCTTTCTTCCAACCTACTCCTACACCACAAAACATAGCTCGTCGAGGCAGTCGGTGTTTAGGCATACATAACACATGTCCCAACCACCTCAACTGATGAAGTTTCATCACTTCATCTATTGATCTGCCATCCTTACCTAGTCATCATTTCCTAACGACAGAATTGCTTACTCTTTAGGAGTAAGCAATGGGCATTCGTGCGTGACAATGAAGGTCCTGCATTCGAGTACCGTGAGCGGCAATCTTGGATGGTGCACATCTGAAGAGTCTCATACTAGAATGTAATAATCATCCAGTGCTTCCAAGTTTCTAACAATGATCGATGATCGTTTTATTTCATTATTAGTATTGATGCCTTGATAAACACTAAACCAACAGCTTTATGTATATACAAATCCCACATCACCAACATATCATTTCCCCTACTTGCCGCCAACTAATTTTTTACACTCTGTTTGTGCCACCACACACGCGTTCATGAATTTCATTGCTGGAAATAATTATTATTAGTTTTGTCTTGATTTTATATTATCTTTTTTTTAGTATAGATCAATTGGATAGTTATAATATGACTGGTTTCTTATTAGCTGTATTACATAGTCATGTAGAGATTATCCATTATTTATTAAATTATACAGTAAAAGCTAAAAAATTAACAATAAATTCTCCAGTAGCATTAATTGATTCCAACATGGACATGAATTCTGACCAACTACATTCAACAATTCATGACAATGATGATCAGGATGATAATGATAACAGCTGTGATCATTTAAATGTCACAGACAATGAACAATCACCATTCATCTATAATTATTCAAATAATCCTATGTCATATGATATTTGTCCAATTGATATTTATCGAAAAATTGCAGCTTGTTGGTATTTTGCTACTTCAATGAATCATACTACTAATAATACTAAAAATAGTAGTAATAGTAGTAATGATTGTACACAACGACCAATGATTATTATCAATCCACGATATCATCAAAGTTTAAATGTTAATGCAATATGTGGATATTTCAATGCATTACAATTATCTATTATGACTGGGTAGGTAAGCTATGTTTTGTTTTTTGGAATACAAATTCATTTATTGTGAAACCATGAATCGATCGATCAATGTTAGACCAACAACACTAGAAACCCTGAAGAAGCACTGGATGACGGCCGTTTCGTCCTGGTATGGGACTGCTCATCAGTGGCAGTGCGCATCCACGACTCCTGCACCTCGTGCAGGATTCGAACCCAGGACATTCGGTATTGTGTGCGAACGCCTTAACCGTTAGACCACTGAACTGGCAGGCATCTAATGGTGTTAATGTCTAACTTGATCAAATTCACGGAGTTGCGCAACCTCATTCATACACTGCATACATCCGAACAGGTTTGAAATTCACTGGTCACGTCTTCCCACTAGAACTCGGAGAAGATTCCTCACCAAGCTAGTCACTAGTGAACACATGTGAGTCCCATACCAGGACGAAACGGCTGTCATCCAGTGCTTCCAGGTTTCTGATGGTGATGGTGTAACATTGATCGATTCATGGTTTCAATAAAACTTAACAATCTTTTACAACAACCCCACAATACAAATTCGCTATTGGTTGTTGACATTTAGTGTTGTTGGCTTTGTTGTAGTTTAAATTACAAACTGATCCTAGTTGAATGATCATTGGGAAATCAAGAAAACATTGAACAGTTGTTTCTCCGCCAATCTCCCAAGAGTACTAATAATCACATATGTACTAATGGTTAACTCTTGAGGTTTTGAGTGAATAGTCATCGGTAATGGAGTTCAGTTGTCTGGAATGTGAAATATTTATTCATCAATGGCATTGGAAGATGGTTGTGGAATTTTGTGAGCTAACTAAGGTTGGAATTAGAAATTTTTTCTGATTATGGTTCGGCTGAGTATGAAGGTTAGGCGCTCGTCATGAGATTTGAAAGTGTTCAGTTTGGTTGCGGTCAGAGTTGTGGATAGCCACTGCTCAGAAGTTCTATAATGATGCGAAACACTTGTTCAATGTGTCTGGCTTTTCAGTGGTTGTTCAAGACAGTGAGATTCAACTACCTCTACAAATTCCTTTTTTAGTAGCGGGAATAAACTGTTCTTCAGGCTTTTCAGTGAGTAATTACTTCGTACTCAAAATTTACAGATAACTAGGTGCAATACACATTACTTACTAACTTACACCTGTTACCCCCAATGGAGCATAGGCCGCCGACCAGTATTCTCTAACCTACTCTGTCCTGGGCTTGCCTTTCTAATTCTGTCCAATTTTTGTTCATTCTCCTCATGCCTTTCTCTGTTTCTTGACATATTGTGTTTCTTGGCCTTCCTCTTTCTCTTTGACCTTGAGTTTTCCAAGTGGGGGCTTGTCTTGTCCACTAGAATCTGGTTTGATCTTTCTCACAGTAGGTTATTGCTGATAATGTCCGACCACCGAATCCGAAGTATTTTGCATAGACAACTGTTCATAACTACTTGTATCTTCTGGATGATGGCTTTGGTAGTTCTCCAAGTTTCTGCCCCATACAGTAGAACTGTCTTAACATTTGTATTGAAAAGTTTGATTTTGTTGTTGGTTGACAGTTGTTTTGAGTTCCAGATATTGTTCAATTATGGAAATTGTTGGAGACGTTAGATCTCCAGAACTCGCTTGATAAATTCCGTATTTTGGATTTCACGTTCGCCAGCATGGGCTGATCAATTGACCTGGAGATTTCATTCCCCACCAGGGAAATCGTTGGCTATGATTGGTTGCTGTGTATTTTAGTGTGCTATTTTTGTGACTCTCCCAAGGATGTTACTATGATGTGTAAATAAACGAGAGTTGTGTGCTTGATTGCATGGTGCTTGTTGGGTGTTTGTAGAACATAATTTCTACGCTTATCAAGACTTCTCCTTTGCAGTTTGGGGATCAAGGTAGCCTACCTGGACGCTGGTTGATTGTCTCGTTCTCGTTTATCGACTAAGGTGAACCTGTAATAGTTTCAAGCATACTTGGTGACGAACATAACAGAAATTCAGCCCTTGCTTTGCCGACCCGCGCCTTTTCAATCGTTTGACAAAAATTGGGCACCGAATATCTATAGTACATTATTTGGGGAAATTATATTCGATGTAATCTCAGCGAATAAGATTGTTTTTAGATAATTCCAACGTTTCATTCAGCTATCGTATCTGGACTTCTTCAGGGTGTCCAAAAGAATTATTCAAAATTTCCATCGCTGAGATTATTTCAATTATAATTTTCTCAAATAATGCAGGTTTAATACAGTTTACAGAAGGTTAAATCTAAGCAGAATAGTAGCTTTATATTAATCTCTGTCATTGTGATATTAAAACTGGATAAATTGCTTTGTACTAATAATGTTTACAGTTTTCAATCGTTGATTACGTCTGTCAATAGAGTCTCAAAGTATTCGTTTGTATCTATCGATGCAACCCATCTCGATAGTCAATGACTTCATGGACTGATGCCATTTTTTTTGGTTCTATGGCTTCTATTTTTATCAGAAGCTATTCTAACACCAGTGCAAATAGCATGTTAAGTTAAGCTGTGCTTGAGCATACGTACTACACATCTCAAAGCTAACCCAATCAATGTAGATTCACAAAATGATTAGAGGATTCCTCATCTTTCCTTAAATCCCTGTATCTTACTCGAGCACCGCTCAGTCGGTTGTCCCGACATACTCAAATAATGCAGCCTGGTGACTAACGAAATCTCAGCACGGATACAGAAAGCTCGATTGGCTTTTCCCAACCTGCGTCACTTATGGCATAGGCGAGATATCCGTTTGCTGATTAAAGGACGAGTGTACGGCGCAGCAGTTGGCTCCGTTCCCGTATATGGATGCGAAACATTCCAGTCACAGGATGAGATGTTCGTAGGTTACTAGTGTTCGATCATAGATGTCTCCGAAGCATTGCTCGTATATCCTGGGACAACCGAATAAGCAATGCTGTCGTTAGGAAACGAGTACTAGGTAAGGATGGCAAATCAATAGATGAAGTAGTGAAACTTCATCAGTTGAGGTGGTTTGGAAATGTGTTACGTATGCCTAACCACCTACTGTCGCGACGAACTATGTTTTGTGGTGTGGGAGTAGGTTGGAAGAAAGTTAGGGGCGGCCAAACCAAAACATGGCAGAAATACATGAAGTCACTGACAATTGGACTGAGTCATGTTGGTAGATGTAGACTACCTGGTTGGGGTCCGCGAGACGACAGCAACCGATGGTTAGAGACCTTGAACGACATGGCTCAAAATCGTTTGCAATGGCGCAGGTGCATCCATTCGTTGTGCTCTCTCAAATCCTAATCTTCTGGATTCGTCAGCACCTGTACCTTTGTCTTTCTAACCTTATCTCACTGAATTATACTTCTTGAATAATATCTTCGAACGCTAGTCTTCTTCATTACAATCAATACCTCTACTATCTTTATCACTATGGGTTTTGATTTGAAATTTGCGCCTCTAAGCTAATGCGGTATAGCAACATGAACTTATGTACAAACGTATGAAGTTCTACGTTGCAACTGACTGACTCAAATAATGCATCTAAAGACTTCCTTGATAAATACTGATAGCTTGTACACATATTTTTGGACTCTAAAGCTTACGTTTCATAGTAATACAGTAAGACAATGAATTACCATTCATTCCATCCATTGTTGCCTTCCTAATCGTTGACCCATATCACGTGACAATGAAAAACACCAATCAGAATTGGTTCACAACTAGATAAGTTCTTTCTTTCTACCGTACCTCTTGCTCTAGAAGTCCGTAGGTTAGTCTCCACAAAATCCTGTCATAATTCAAACAGACATAGTTTGTATGCCAAACATACCAGACCACACCACATCACACTGTAAAATCAGAAAATACAATTATCTATGAGCTAGTCAAAAGTGGCTGTGAACAATTGAGTCTGTAGGCGATAATCTGACGAAAGATTAATTGATAGGTTAATCAAGAATTTATGACGAAAGGAATACAAATAGGTAATCATCTAGTTATGTAATAATTACATAATGGAAATATCTATAGAATTTGCAGATTGTTGATCTCATGAATCGATCAATGTTAGACCATCATTAGCAACCAGAAACTGGGCGTAATCCCATCCATTTGGTCTCAATCACTGATAGTCACAATTCATAAGAAAGGAAAAAAGTCCTCTTGTGATAATCACAGAGGAATCAGTTTAACTAATATAGTGTCTAAATTATTAGCGTCGATAATACTTAAACGCCTTACTAGTTCTCGTGAAGAGCAGACTAGAGAAAACCAGGTTGCTTTCAGACCTGGACGTGGCTGTATAGACCACATCTTCACATTACGACAAGTCCTAGAACACAGACACACATTTAGGCGTCCGAAAATTATTGTCTTCCTGGACCTTAAGGCGGCATTTGACTCTGTTGATCGTGAGGTTCTATGACAGTGTCTATCATCGAAATGTGTACCAGAGAAGCACATTAACCTTATACAAGCTCTCTACTCGAATACTATAGGTCGAGTGAGAGCTTATGGTGAACTGTCATCAGAACCCATTACTTCAAGTGTTGTCCGTCAGGGTTGTCCACTCTCCCCATTCTTGTTCAATTTTGACATAGACATGCTTCTAGATACAACATTATCTTCGTCTGAATATTTATGTGTAGACCTACGAGGAGGATCACTTAGATCACCTAGAATATGCCGATGATATAGTTCTATTTGGTGAAGACGCTGATAAAATGCAGAGTCTTCTGACTACCCTAAGCAACAATGCAAGCATGTTCGGGATGCGATTCTCCCCGTCGAAACGCAATATACTGCTTCAGGATTGGCTTCTATTGGCACCCTCGGTTTTGCGTCCGAACGCTTGACCTCTAGACCACTGAGCCGATTTCCACTAGAACTTGGAGAAACTTCTTCATGGAACTAGTCACTAGTGAGCACATGATTACTTGCATGATAGATTGAAGTTCCTGTGAGTAGTAGGAGTCATGGATGTGCACCTCTGATGAGTCCTATTGTAGTGAACTAGAACATAGGTGGGGCAACCGAATTGTATTTAGCGAAAGTTACAGAGTTACTCAGTAAAATTGGAAAACCATATCGTAAATCGTTAATTTGCAAAATATCAGTCCATCATATCGAACTGGACTGTTCCTGTTGCAAACAACATCAATCCATTGTCACTATTCATGCGTTTCATACAAATTCCATTGTGTTCCCACTCTTCTTCCTTTCTTGATCTTCCCCCATCTTCTGCTGCCACCAGACATTACGTTGACACTCACGTCACATACTACTTATAAGTAGCTCGCACCACACTATACCAAGATGAAACAGCTGTCCAATATTTCCATATTCCTAATGGTGGTCTATTATGAAGAGAGCAACTTATTGAAATTAATTGAATCAAGTTCTCTTTTTATTGAATTTTGAATTGATTACTATTCAAAACTAGCTTTTTGTAATCAAATTCAGCGCACCATTAATTGATCAGACATTTTTTTTTCATTCTTTCATTCTTTGATTGTTATAATTTTTTTTTATTCAAGTAATATTGAATCCATTTCAATGTTGGTCACTTATCTTCATGAAGAAATCAATACCGGTTGTACATCTTGTATACATGGTCAATGTTACAATGATCATTTATTGAATCCAATGATGACGACATTAAACAATGCGAATTCTAATCATCTACAATCGATTACAATTACAACTCCACTTGGTTTAACTTGTTGTTGTTTAGCGGAAATAGATGAAAATGTATGTGTAGATTTATTTATTATGATAGTAGTATATATATTCTTGCGTTTGTTTGTAATATTTCATGATCAGTGAAGTGCTTAACCCCTGTCGGATGTTGGGATTTACTTTATGGCTGTGAAACATGGCCAGTAAGAGTAGAAGATATTCGTAGGTTACTGTTGGTTTTCGATCATAGGTGTCTTTGAAGCATTGCTCGTATATCGTGGGACACGTGAGTGAGCAACGCTGTTATTAGGAAACGGGGTGCTAGTTAGAAATGGCAAATCAATAGATGAAGTAATGAAACTTCATCAGTTGAGGTGGTTGGGACATGTGCTGCGTATGCCTAACCACCGACTGCCGCGACGAGCTATGTTTTGTAGTGTAGGAGTAGGTTGGAAGAAAGTTAGGGGCGGCCAAACCAAAACATGGTAGAAATCCATGAAGTCATTGACTGACGAGTGGACTTAGCGATGTCGGTAATTGTCGACTACCTTGTTGGGGTCCGTGAGATGATAATAATCGATGGTCAGAGAACCTGAATGACATGGACCAAAAACCGTTTGCAATGGCGCAGATACATTTATTCTTTGTCTGCTCTCTCAAATCCTAATCCTCTGGATTCTTCGACCCCTCTAGTTTTGACTTTCTAAATTTATGTCACTGAATTACACTTCTTGAATAATATCTTGTAATCCTAACCTCTCCGATTACTTCTAATACCTTTACTACCTCTTTTACTATTGGATTTGAATTGACAATTATATCTCTCTGTGCTGATGTGGTATGGCAACGTGAACTGATGTACTTACGTACGAAGTTCTAAGTTGCATCTAACTGACTGACTGTTGGGATTTACTTGCCGAGAACAATGGGTGGGGTTGCGCAATAGCTTGGTTTGAATAGAGTTAGAGACACCGTTGAATGCCAGCTCAGTAGTAGTCCAGAGGTTAAGCCTTTGCACACAAGATCGAAGATCCTTGGTTCGATCCCCGCTAGTTACGGAAGTCGTGTATGCGCACCGCTGGTGAGTCTCATACTAGGACGAAACGGCCGTCTAGTGCTTCCAGGTTTCTAATAATGGTCTAACATTGATTGATTTACTATTTCGATGTTTTATTACGTTATTGTAAATGAGAACATAGTGAATTTTTAGTTTAGAGGATAAGTCACACGTTTATAGGCTGTATTTGTCATTTATTGACCGTTATTTTCAGATCACTTACATCAGAAAACACTGAACAGTTGTTTAGTACTCTCATCCCGACCGTAGCTGCTACCTTGACATGGTGGTCGGGTCTGCCTATCGTGATGACCCAACCGAGCTATACTGGCTGGAACGTATTTTCCTTAAGGTTCTACCATGTCAGACACGTCGATTGGAGAACAATGAGACTAAAAGCAGCAGCCATTCAAGGTCTGAGGGCGAAGTCGTACTGCTGACTGCAGAGAGGTGTGACAGCAGTAATGTGTCTCCCTCGGACAACCGGCATCTGCAGCGATGCTGCCTTCTCACAATGAAGGAAGGGTTAGAAAAGGTCGACCGTAAAAATGTCACACCTCACCCTACCTCACTGGTTTCCGTGTCCAACGGTAAAGCCACACGAACAGCGGAGCTAACACTCCCAAGAGATCATTTGAAAATTCCTTGCGTGACCGGCCTTAAGCACTTGTCCCTTGGGCTCTAAGGTCACGCTCTCAGGTCTACTAAAGCAACAATAATCCGACTTCTTTTTCAGATTCCTCAAGTAAAACGCTTCCACTGTTTGGGCGGCTGGTAAGTTACATCCGGATGAAGTTACACAGTACATAACTTGATTCTAAAACCTCTTCACCACCATAAACAAGTGATTTGATAAATGAGATATTTGTCTTTCAACTACGAGGTCACAGGTTCAAATCTCTCCAATTCTTCTGGTTGCATTTAGTTGACCTAAAGCTTAAAAAGAAAAATAATGAAACATATAGTTGATGAGTGAGTGTATGAGTGCTTGAACTACTACGAGTTTACCGTAGTCGGTAAACGAGATCGAGGACAAATGATCCAGTGACACGATAGGCTATTCTAATCCGAGCGTCGCAAGGCCCCACTAAGTAGAGGAAGAAGTCTTGATATATGTATTCTACAAGCACCAAGAAAATATGACGTTGATAAGTACAAAAATTGTGTTTATTTATACGTGATAGAAACGTCCTTGAGAGAGCCACAAAAATAGCATACTATAATAACATATCAACCAATAACGACAGTCAAGACATTTCCGGGTTGGGAAATGTATGCTCAAGGTCAACTAAACGACTTATGCGCGAAAACATAAAAAAAATATCCAAAATTAGGACCTTTATCAAGTGAGTCAGTCAGTCAGTCAGTTGCAACGTAGAACTTCGTACGTATGTACATAAGTTCATGTTGCTATACCACATTAGCACAGAGACGCAAATGTCGAATAAAATCCCATAGTGATAAAGATAGTAGAGGTATTAATGGTAATGAAGACTGGTAGGGTTCGAAGAGATTATTCAAGAAGTATAATTCAGTGAGATACGGTTAGAAAGACAAAGGTAGAGGTGCTAACGAATCCAGAAGATTAGGATTTGAGAGAGCTCAAAAAATGGACGCTTTTGCGCCATTGCAAACGATTTTGAGCCATGTCGTTCAAGGTCTCTAACCATTGGCGACTTTCGTCCCGCGCACCCCAACCAGGTAGTCTACATCTACCAATATGAATCAGTCCAATTGTCAGTGATTTCATGGATTTGTGCCATGTTTTGGTCTGACCGCCCCTACCTTTCTTCCAACCTACTCCTACACCACAAAACAAAGCTCGTCGCGGCAGTCGGTGGTTAGCCATACGTAACACATGTCCCAACCACCTCAACTGATGCAGTTTCACTACTTTATCTATTGATCTGCTATCCTTACCTAGCACCCGTTTCCTTAAGACAGCATTGCTTATTCGGTTGTCCCACGATATACGAGCAATGCTTCTTAAACATCTATGATCGAATACTAGTAACCTACGAATATCTTCTACTCTTAACGGCCACGTTTCACAGCCATATAGGAAAACGGAGCGAACTGCTGCACAGTACACCCGTCCTTTGGTTAGCGAACGGATATCACGCCTACGCCATAAGTGACGTAGGTTGGCAAAAGCCAATCGAGCTTTCTGTATCCGTGCTGAGATTTCGTCAGTCACCACGCTATCAGCGCTGATGAGACTGCCAGATAAGTGAAGTGATCAACATGCTCGACTTCTTCACTCCCTATCACTAGTTCAGGTGAGTTCTGTGGATCTAACGTCCTCAACAATGATTGATACAACTTGTTTTTGATCTATTCTTTAATTGACTTGTATTTTTTCTTCCACACCGCCCCACCTCCTCGCACCATTAATTTGTATCTCTTCTAGAAAGCTGTCGAAATCGCTTCAATCCTATTGAATTATGGTGCAGTTGATGTAGACAATCAATTATTTGTATATACAATGAAAAAATCCTTCCATAAATTAGCTGGTCTCTTATTTATTCATGAATTATTATTATTATCATTAAAATCATTAGAAAATCATGGAACATTGAACACAATGACAAAACATTTAAATTTATCCAATATGTCATTGTTTCAATCGTCAATTATGACTAAAACATTTTGGTTTGTAAATTCTATGCTGATTATACCACAATGGATGAAATTATTAGAAGAGTTATCCAAGTTCAATGGGATCAATGCATGCGAGTTGGCGTCACAGTCACCGTCATCGTCACCATCAGCAATGTCATCTGTACAACAGAAGGAATCTAACATGAACAAAAATACCGATACTACTAATAATACTACTGATAACAATAATAATAGTAATAATAATGGTCGTAATCATCAATTATATCAATATATTAGTCAACTATTAACACTATCCATACCATCACCATTATTCAGTAGGAATTTTTCTATTCATCAAACAAATCAATTGATTACACGTATCACTTTATCGAATTGTGGTTTACAAACTCTACCATGGTGTTTATTTAATTGTGTGAAAAATTTAAAGGTAAACTTTTAATATTATTATTATTATTATTATTATTCTGTTAGAACTGTAGAATTATGGATTGATTTCAATTGGAAAATTGTTCAACAGGTTGTGAATAGTTATTTATTCATCCAGCTATTGAATTCTAGGTCAATATTGAAATTCTTGAGTAAGTGAATCAATCAGATTATTTAATCCAACAATGTTTGGAGTTGGAGTCGATTATAGGCTCTTTCTTTGTTGGGGCACGTTAGTGTTATGCCTGCACGTGTAAACACGTCGTCAACTTGATATAATTGAACTATTGCGGGTTTACCTAGTTGGAAAAACGAGAGCGAAGATCGAGGATCCGGCGACACGACATGCTACTCAAATCCGATTATCCTAACCCCCCATATTTAGAAAAAGATGACAAGAATTGATATGAAGTAGAACCTGTATTCAAAAAGTATCCAGAAAGTACAAGGTCCGAATCCATAAGAGAATCAGGATCCCGGAGTAGGGATCCGGGACTGAGCCCTGGTCGTGGTCATAAAACGTTACAGATAATGCGTATTGATACATTTTGGTCGAATAGGAAACAGCATCGAAGTCTGTGACATTGACAGTTAAGACGACCAATAGGCAGCAACATTTGAAGTGACATTGATAGTCAGGACAACTAATAAGAAACAACATTGGAGCTCGTGACATTGATATGTAGGACGATCATAAAATTGACCAGTTGGAATTAAACAATAGGAATTGACCGATAATTCTCTTGGGATATTGGATGAATATACTAACAGTTAGATCCTCGGAATTCGCTTGATAAATGTCTTAATTTTGGATCTTATACATGGGCTGATATCAGTTGACCTTGAGATCACATTTCCTACCAGGAAAATCCTCGGCTATGATTGGTTACTGTGTTATTTTAGTGTGCTATCTTTGTGACTCTCCCAACGATGTTACTATGATGTGTAAATAAACGAGATTTGTGTGTTTGATTGCATGGTGCTTACTGGGGTGTTTTTAGAATATACTTTCTACGCTATATCAAGACTTTTTTGTTAGTTCCTTTGGGTCAACGGAACAGAGTAGCCTATACCCGGACACTGGTTCATTGTCTCGTTCTTGTTTATCGACTAAGGGTGAACACGTATTAGTTTCAAGCATACCTAGTGACGAGCATAACACTCTTGTAACCGGTGTAGTTAAAGAGACTTTGAATGGCATGGCTCAATATTGCTTGCTAATAGCACAACTGATGCATCCATTCTTTGTGTCTCCTCAATTCCTAGTTGTCGGAATTCTTTTTTTTAGAAACTGATTTTGTTGGATTGTACTTCTCCAATTATATCTCCGATCTCTAATCTTTTCGACTACCGCTAATAATGCTACTACGTCTACTGATTGCATTGACGAGCGACGTTTTATGATGTAGGGGTAGGTTGGAAGAAAGCTGGGGGCGGCTAAAGCAAAACATGGCACATATCCTTAAAGCTGAACTGAGCCATATTAGTAGGCGCAGGCTACTGGTTGGGCTCCGCGAGATGATGGTAACCGATGTTTAGAGACTTTGAATGACATGGCTCACAACCGTTTGCAATGGCGCACATGCATCCATTCTTTATCTTGTGTCAATTCCCACCTTTACCTGTCTCTTTTTAAATTTATTTCACTGGATGATTATACTTCTCGAATCGTTATCTTTGAACCCTAATCTTCGCCATGACTGCTAAATACTTCTACTACCTCTACCACTATGGGATTCAAATTGATAAATGCATCTCTCCGTGTGCTAATATGGTATGGCAACTTGAACACTGATCTACGTTCGTACCAAGTTCTCTGTGTTGTAGCTGACTAACTGAAACAACATATAAACTTGCATATAATACTGTGAATCGTTTCAAGTTTCCACATCATTCGCTTACAAGAAGATGGGATTATTTAAACAAATCCCAGAAAAGCAGCAATCTTATTACTAATTATGTTGGAAAAAATTGGTCTCAGGCAAAACAACTCGAGAATTAAAAAAAACGGAATAATTTCAAAACTCAGGATCCAAAGGAAGACAAAGTTTGAATGGATCTTAGCCATTTTATCCATATTCTCCAACCATGGATTATGATAATCACATAGAAGACATCAATTGGGCAGAGAACAACAATGTGGCAGAGAACAAACCAGCTTCCTCCATTTGAAGAAGAAGAAGAAGTTAGGAAACAATCTCTGTAAATGGATAGGACACACATTTCGAAAATCATAAGACAAGCTTTAACTTGGAATCTGCAAGGCCAAAGGAGATGAAGAAGAAGATCAAAGAACATTTTACGCCGAGAATTGAAAGCAGATACATAAAGAATGAATAGCAACTAGGTAGAACTGGTAAGGTAAACTCAGGATAGAGTAGGATAGAGAATGCTGGTTGATGGCCCATTCTCCATTATGCGTAACAGGCGTAAGTAAGTAAGTAATACCTACTAACAATGTCCAGTTTACTAGTCAATAACGTCATGGATTGACGCTAAGTTTTGATTTGGCCAATCTTAAACTTATTTCAACCTACATCTGTGCCAGCGAATATCACTTGCGAGTTAGGTGTTGGTTAAACACACGTAACATATAATACTCTAATCACCTCAGTCTATGTAAATTTATAGCTTCATCAACGGATTTATAAATTTTATTTAGTAGAGTACATCTAACCTCAAGATTGTTCCACTCAGTGGTCTCAATGTATGTAAGGAAGCATAAATGATCATCCTGAACTATCGATAATATCTTTATTTCTGGCCTGGTTAAAATTTTCCCGGTTACAGATTCACACTATACACTGCTAGGATAGAACAGCTTTCATGTTTTCCTTAATTTTTAGTGATTGTCTAACTTGTCAATTAATGTAAGTTAAGCGCCTTTCTCCATAGATATTGAACCAAACTAAGCTAAATAACCACTGAAAACAATGCAATACTGGACAGCTGTTTCATTGTAGTACAGGACTTATTGAAAGTACACATGGATGACACCACCTAGGATCGAACCCAAGACTTTCAAATGTCACATTGGGGGCTTAATCTTTAAACCAGTGAGTCGTCTAACTTGAATCAGCTGGTGACATTAAACATTCTTCTTTTAATACTATTGGTGGGTAACTGTTTCTCATCTGGCCTGGATTGAACTTCCTTGGTCACTGCTAGATCTCCATAAATCATCTTTCGAAACTAGCTACATCATAGTTTTCGGTATAGTCGATTTGTGGTAGTTGCAGGAACAAATATTTATGATACATTCTCTTCAGATTGATTCATTTTGGTGGAGCTGTATGTAATAATTTTAATCAATAAAATGGAAAAACAGAACCCTGAAATAGTACATTGTGAAACTAATGAAATAATCGTCTGCTTGAAATCTCGATCATTTAAATTTGATGGAGAAGTAGGTTGAATGGTGGCTAAGTATGGCTTAATCAAGGCATGGGATCAGTTTATAAAGTCATTGACTGTGCCGTATTGGTACATGTAGATTACCTGGTTTGAGTCCGCGCATCGATCGTGACCAGTGGTTGAAGATGCTAGGTGTCATGGTCATTATTGCCCTGGTACATCTACTCATTATATTGCTCTAGATCTTCTGTTCCAGTATTCCTTCATATTATTTCGCAGCACGGATTATTCCAACAAGTTTCATTTTCAGTGTGTATTGCCAGCCGCCGCGATATCTTAGATTGTACTTCTTTGCACTATATTAGGTCGTAAATAGGTCGTAGAAATTTTGTATACTCACCTGACTAAATTATGTGATTAATAGACATAATAATTAACGTGTTAAAACAAACGAAAGGAGGTAACTGTTTGAAATACTTGGAAATACTCGGAAAACAGGTAACCTAGATATTCCAACAAGCTACTTAGTATAGATTTACTTGGACTCAATTACTACTGAACTATCTCACTTCAGTGATAGGAATTATGGTATTTTAAGTCAATACTGTGCAATATTTACACCAGTTCTCCTAGATTGTTTCTGACTGATTAGTAACTATCATTAATGAGTTTTTTCAAATATATATTTTATATTTTTAAAATCAGGGATTGTGACATTAGTTAGATGACCCGACTGTAACTGCCACCTTGAGGTAGTGGTTGGGGATTGCCTATCGTAATCACACAATCGAGCTATATTGGCTGGAAAACATGTTCCTTTTTTGGTCTTATCATGCTAGGCAAATCGATTGGAGAACGATAAGACTAAAAGCAACAACTCAAGATCTGAAGGTGAAATTGTAGTGCTGAGTTTAGAAAGGTGTAATAGCAGTAAGGTGTTTCCCTCGGACAGCCGGCATCTACATGCGATGCTGCTTTCTCGTTACAGAAGGATGCGGTTAGAGAAGTTCGACTTTTAATTTAACCGTCGGATTTCTGTCTCCGGCAGTAAGGCCTTTTGAAGAGCGGAGCTAACACATTAAAAAAAAGTTCCCATATAAAAGCCGTGAGCGACGTTGTAGTTGACTGACTAAGTTAGTGTCAGGATATTCATCCAATATCCTAAGAGAATTATTGGTCAATTCCTATTGGTTCATTCCTACTGGTCAATTTTATGGTCGTCCTAGATATCAATGTCATGTACTCCAATGTTGCTTCCTATTGGTCGCCCTGACTGTCAATGTCACAGACTTCGATGCTGTTTCCTATTCAACCAAAATGTATAAATACGCATGGTCTGTAACGTTTTATGACCACAACCAGGACCAGGGCTCGGTCCCGGGTCCCTAGTCCGTGATCTTAATTCTCTTCTGTATTCGGAACTCGTACTTTCTGGATACTTGTAGAATACACATTCTACTTCATATCAAGTCTTCTTATTTTTATTCAATATGGGGGTTGGGATAATCGGATTTGAGTAGTATGTCGTGTCGCCGGATCCTCGATCCTCGCTCTCGTTTTCTGACTAGGTAAATCCGAAATAGTTCGAGTATATCAAGTTGACGTGTTTACGTGCCGGCGTAACAGTTAGATGTCAATGAAAAACCTAAGAGTACTGGAAAGTCAATTTATCCTTGTATAGAAGTTCTCAACAGTGCATATTCACAACCCAGAGCTTTGGGCCTCGTGCATACAAACGCTTAACCACAAGATCACTAAACTTGTAATCCAACAGTATTAAAATGTCCATCTCTAATGAATTCACAAAATATTACTTGACGTTATTTTAATTATTGTTGTACGGATGGCTTTTTCATTCATCTTTTTTAATTTTTTCTTTAAAAAGGAATTAGATTTAAGTAAAAATCATATTCGTAGTTTACCAAAACAATTACCCAATGTTCCAATGGCCTATCGACCTGGTCAATATATTCCGACTTGTTGGACATCTAGTTTAATTTATTTAGATTTATCCGAAAATCAATTGGACTACTTACCCAAATGGTTATTTGTTAACAAATGTGACTATCAATCAGGCAAAGTATCATTCTCTTCTAAAAGAAAAAGTAAAAATTATACTACTACTAATAACGATGATAATAGTAGTTTGAAACAACAAGATACATATGTTCTTCCTAGGAATACCGACATCATCGATTCGTATCATCTTCGTCGATGTTATTCAGAACCTGTCATCATGCATACCGCCGGTTCTTCATTACATCCTAAAACGATGATGATGATGACGACGGTGAATGATTCATTTGCACCGAATCTGTTACATTTACTATTGTCGCGAAATCAATTACGTGTATTACCCGCAGAAATATGGACCGGTTCATTATGGTGTAAATTGCAATTTCTTGATTTAAGTTGGAATAAAATCAGTTGCTTACCAGTGCCAAATTTATTAAAATTACAATTTGATCATTCACAACAAATGTACAAGGATTCATTGTGTAGGAAAGTAAGTTTTAGAATTTACGAATTGTTTTTTTTTACCTTTCAAAGTTTCTTTTTTTAATGATACATTTAGTTACACATTTTTGAAATCATGAATTGATCAATGTTAGACCACCATTAGAAACCTGGAAGCACTGAAAGACGGCCGTTTCGTCCTGGTATGGGACTCATTAATGGCAGTGCGCATCTACGACTCCTGCACCCTGCAGGATTCGAACTCAGGACCTTCGGTATTGTAGGCGAACGCCTAACCATCGGACCACTGAGCCGGTGCCTAACGGTATTAATGTCTAACTTGATCAATTCAACATTGATCGATTTATGGTTTCAAAAATGTGTAACTTAACAATCTTCACAACCCCGTAATGCAGATATTTTTAGTGTCATAAGTTGTTACGCTTATAGATAAAGCTAGTAGTAGAATGTATTGGATAACTCATTTGTTTTTAGTTCAAACAAGGTAATTTTGCTGGTGTTGTTTAAGGTTAACAAGAAGTGGTTATCATGTTCCAGTTGCCCACCATCTTATGGAAATAATTGCAGAGGGAATCGGGTTAGATGTGTGGTATAATAATGAATTAAGATTGTGATTGTTAAATCCGAAAAAACAATTAGTCAGTCAGTTAGTTACAAAATAGAACTTCGTACATGAGTACATAAGTTCAGGTTGTCATAAGGAATCAGCACAGAGACGCAAGTGTCAGTTCAAATCCAATAGTGATAGCGATAATAGAAGTATTAGCAGCAATGCTGAAGATTAGGGTTCGAAGATATGATTCGAGAAGTATAATTCAGTAAGATAAATTTAGAAAGAGAAAGATAGAGATGATGAGAAACTCAGAAGTTTAGAATTTCATATAACACAAAGAGTGGATGCACTTACGCTATTGCAAACAATTCTGAGCCATATCGTTTAAGGTCTCTAACCTTTGGTGACATACGTCGCACGGACTCTAGCCAGGTAGCCTACATTTACCAACATGACTCAGTCCACTTGTCAGTGACTTCATGGATTTCTGCCATGTTTTGGTCTGGCCTCCCCTAACGTCCTTCCAATATACTCCTACACTGCAAAACATAGCTCGTCGCGGCAGTCGGTAGTTAAGCATACGTAACACATGTCCCAACCACCTCACTACCTCACCAATTAATCTGCCATCCCTACATAGTAATCGTTTCCTAACAACAGCATTGCTTACTTGGCTGTTCCAGGATATACGAGCAATGTTTCGGACACACCTGTGATCGAAGACAAGCAACCTACGAATGTCTTCTACCCTCATTTTTCATTTTGACGGGGAAAACCGCATCCGGATCATGCTTGCATCGTTGCTTAGGTTAGTCAAAAGACTCTGAATTATATCAGCGTCTTCACCGAATAGGATTATGTCATCAGCATACATTAAGTCAGAAAGCGTGTCTCCTGGTAAACGGAAAGAAACGATGTAGGTTTTCTCCGACTATTTTTGAGCCTTGTACCTTCCAAACTACAGAACTACATGAAGCACAATGAGCTATGCTATTATGGGTGTGGACCTTTTCTAGAACCCTTTGCTGTAATACAAATGCTGGTTATCCGAGGAAAACCTCGGCTGAACAACTTCACCCTTCTCCAAGCTAAAGTTATAAGTTTTCCAGTCAAGATCACTCTATTGATTTATAACCTTCATTTATCAACTTTACTGTATAACTCGACCGTCATCCATTAATTAATAATTGGATTTCATTCTGATTTGTACTATGCATCATGAAACAAATTTAAAATGAGTACTAGACAGTTATTTATCCAATAATCTTATTCAAAGTTTTTCAGATGAAAAAAACTGACAACAAAAGTTAATGCTTAGTACACATGAAGTGTAAACGTTCATTTCACAGCATTACCCCTGACGAATCATAATCACATTGACCAAAAATGACTAGCAAGAAAATTTCTCAATAAATTCATTGTTACTCATAAGTAATATATATGTGAACTATGCGAATCTCACGATTTCCTCCATAAATTGATATGATATATTCTGTTTACTTTTTCAACTTAAACTTCTAATTATTATAAAATGCTGAGAATTATATTACCGAAGCATGTAAAATCAGTCTCCTGGCCAATCGTTATAGATTCTAAAGGACGAGTGTACTGCGCAGCAGTTTTTCTCTTGGTCCTACTTTATGGCTGCGAAACATGGCCGGTAGGAGTTGAGGATATTCGTAGGTTATTAGTATTGCATTATAGATGTCTTCGAAGCATTGCCCGTATATCCTGGTACAACCGTATAAAAAATTCTATAGTTAGGAAACGAGTATTAGGTAAGGATGGCAGATCAGTTGATGAAGTATTGAAACTCTATCAGTCGAGGTGGTTGGGACATGTGTTACGAATGCCCAACCACCAGCTGCCTCATCGAGCTATGTTTTGTGGTGTAGGAGTAGGTTGGAAGAAAGTTAGGGGCGGCCAAACCAAAACATGGCGGAAATCCATGAAATTACTGACAAGTGGACTGGGTCATGTCGGTAGGTGTCGAGCACCTGGTTGGTGTCCACGAGATGATAATAATCGATGGTTAGAGAACCTGAATGGCATGGCTCAAAACCGTTTTCAGTGGCGCAGGTGCATTCATTCATTGTGTCCTCTGAAATTCTAACCTTCTAAATTCCTCATCATCTCTATCTTTCATCTTTCTAAACTTATCTCACTAAATTATACTTCCCGAATCATACTTTTGATGTTACCATCACTCACAGTCAATGATTAGAACAAGTTCTTGAATGTTATCAACTTCTAGTTACGAAATCCTTTAGCTGTATAATAGAATAAAATGGGATCAAGGCTATCTTATCGAATACTGACCTACTTTAATTAACGAAAGAACTCCTTTGTCAAAATAATATTTTTATACATTATGACGGACATCATTTCCAGGCCCAAATACTTGAGATAGTAGAGAATTTTTTCATCTCAGGTGGATAATTGTGATAGAGTTTCGTTCTCTGAGCTGGATGTCTCGACATTGTAGGCTAAATTGTCTTAAAATTACGTCTAGTAATTGAGTATGCACAGATTATCCAGTCTGATCTCGTGCGATTGTCGTATTCAATGTTCAGAGATACTTGGTGACATTAACATAAATTAGTCAATCAATCACAAGGATACATTCACTCTTTTTCTCCACTAAATATTGAGTCTTAAAATTATCTCACACAGTTTGTTTTGCTAATTCACATTTTATTATCGAATGATATCGTCTATCTTCAACATTACTTCATATAAATTCGTGTACTCATCTTTAAATTCACGCTTTAAATATCGAAGTTCAATGTTATTATTGGGTTGTTTAAGTAGGCACGTAATTCTAGTCTACAGTTTAATAAGTAAAATTTGGATAACCATCATCTTACAAGTAAATAACGTTAATATTATGCCTGGTATGCGTCAAATTCGAAACTGTTCAGGGAGTTCTATTTCGCTAACCGACTTATCTTACTAGCTTAAAACCTTGTAATTGTTATAAAATCTATACAGATTGAAATCATCAATCACTCATTGTTAGACCACCATTGGAAACCTGGTATGGAACTACTCATCAGTGGCAGTGCACATCCATGACTCCTGCTACTCATTGGATCCGAACACAGGTTGAATTTCTTCACTTTGACATTCAGAGCACTGGGCAGAAATCACATTGCGTCAAAACTAATCAGTGGACATCGCAATGCTTTGTTTTAATTAGATAGTCGGATTCCCCTGGTCCGTGCCAGTTCTGAGTTAGCCGTCGCGCGCCAGATCATGGAAGCACAGCCGCTTGACGCAACGTGGAACAAGTCCTCGTGCGTTGCTAGCTGCACGACACTAACAGCTGAAACCGCCCACGATTGACCCGGGTCAGAGTCCAGTAACCTCATCACAATGCACACCGAAGCACACAAAACAGCAAAGAAACCAGCCCCCAACTGAACCGACACGTATCTGATCTCGGCCTGTCTGACTCAGCCCCCAGAGCCAATCCTTCTCCTGAAGTTACGGATCGAATTTGCCGACTTCCCTTACCTACATTGTTCAATTGTCAGAGGCTGTTCACCTTGGAGACCTGCTGTGGATATGGGTACAGCCTGCCACGAAAATTATACTGCCTCGCTCGGATTTTCAAGGGCCGACAAGAGCGTTCAGTACACCACAAGAAGGGCGGTGCTTTACGGAGGCTACCCCCCTATCTCCGGACAAGCCGATTCCATGGGGTGGCCCTGTAGAGTTAGGAGTTTTTGATACCCGAGAACCTTTAGGGGCTTCAGTCTCAACCTTCACCTCACTCTTTGTTATTATGTCGACCTTTACAGGCGCCACTTGCTGCTGTTACACATGAGACTTATCTTTTTTAGTCTTTTCAGCTCGTTTACTTTGCAACTTGGATAGCAAAATATCTGGGTCCTCACTGTTCAGCTTGTCATCCAGAAAACAGTGAGAACCTGCTCTTCACTTCCACAGAGTACTGATAGGCGTGGTCAACACCAGCCATGTCTACAGAATAGATTGCACACGGACCGTCAACGCTTAACTTATGGACCACAGTGCTTCCACGTTTCTAATGGTAATCTTACAATGATTGATTGATAATTTCATTGTGTAAAAAACACTGGAACAACTGAGTAAGCAAGGCTGTTGTTAAGAAACAGGTACTAGGTAAGGATGACAGGCCAATAGATGAAGCATGGAAACTGCATCAGTTTAGGTGGCTGGGTGCTACGCATGCCTATGTTTTACTATCTTATTGTACATCGAATTTATATATATTTGTAGAGAGAGAGGAAAAATCATCAAGGTCATATTTTTTGTTTTACTTCATGGTCATCGACTTTCAATTTTTCCATTTCTTTCTTTCTCTTCATGATTGTAATAATAATGATGATGTGATGTTCAATCATTTTTTTCACTCAGAAAACACAAAGCTTACAAACAACGCATGAAATTCACAATACTACTCAATTTGGGAATAATGCTGAAAGATTGCAAATGGATTTTAATTCAGAAAATATTTTCTACTTTCCAACTAATCAACTGTTAACACGTATAACAAATCTTAATCAACCTGTAGAAAAGAATACTTCTACTACTAATACTACTACTAACAATAATATTAGTAGTAATGATGAATATAATGACAAATTATTTGAAAAGAGGAAACCTGTTGAGTTTTTTGATCAATATGGTATGTGGACAAAGCTTTTCAATGAATTAATTTATTTTAATTTTGTTAAGATTTTATACTTTTGGGATTGGAGAAGTTTAATTGTTGAAGCGGTTCACTAACCGGTCGGTATTCGTTAAAATTCTCAAACTTCATATACCGATCATCCTGATAACCGTTACTAGATAACACTGTTGTCGATGTTAGATCCCCAGAACTCAATTGGAAATGGTACTAATTTTCGATTCTTTATGTTTTCGCGCATAAGTCGCTTAGTTGACCTTGAGATTATATTTCTCACTCGGAAAATCCTTGATTGTCATTGGCTGATGGATTATTTTAGTACGCTATGATTGTGGTTCTCCTAAGGAAGTTCCTATCATGTATCAATAAGCTTTGATTTGTGTGCTTTTCAACCTCGTATTTTCTGAGTTCTTGTAGAATGCACTTTTTACGCCTTATCAAGACTTATTGATCTAGTTAGGTGGGCCTGGGACAATCGGATTAGAATAGCCTATCATGTTGTTGCGTCCTTTGTCTTCGCTCACGTTTACTCGTAATAGCATTCAAGCATATCAGTTGACGAGCATATCAGTCTTGCCCAAGTTTTTTTCTCGATGATAAATCATACTTATTATCATTGTTACTAAATTGTTTAAATTCCTCTACAATTCGTCTTGTCATCCTAATGTGATATGTAACGCATGTGTGTGCTCATACTCTACGTTGGTTGTAGATGATTGACAATTTTAAGTAATATCACTTGAAGAATTATTGAAAACTACTGAGACACTGGGAATCTAGTTTAATGGAATCAAACTATCATTCTGATATGCGCGCAGCTATTACGAGTTCACCTTACTCGGTAAACGGAATGAAGATCAACGATTTTCTCAGGCTCCGCTAACTAGAGGAAGAATTCTCGGTAAGGAGTAGAGCGTATATATTCACAAGCATTCAGAAAATACGATGTCCATAAGCACACAACTCAAGCTCATTTTTACACTGAGAAAACGCCCTAAGAACGTTTCTATCATGTATAAATATGCTCAACTTGTGTGCTTGTCAAACTCGTATTTTCTAGATGCTCGTGGAATCCACTTTCTATGCCTTACCATAACTTCTTGATATAGTTAGCGGGGCCTTCGACAACGGATTAGAATAGCTAATCGTGTCACTGAATCATTTGTCTTCGCTTACGTTTACCGAGTAAGGTAAACTCCTAATAGTTTCGAGCATATCAAACACCCACTGATGTCGTTACGTACTTATGTGACCACATCAATTGGATATGCTTGAACTATTACGAGTTTACCTTAGTTGGAAAATGAGAGCGAGGATCGGCGATCCGGCGACACGACAGGGTACTCTAATCCGAGCGTCCGAACCCCCATTGAGTAAAAGAAGACTTGATATAAAGTAAAACGTGTATTCTGCAAGCTTCCAGAAAGTACGAGGCCCGAGTCCAGAAGAGGCTAAGGATCCGGATCATAAGTGTTCTATATAAGTCATGAATCGATCAGTGTTAGACCACCATTAGAAACCTGAAAGCTCTGTGTGGCCGTTTCATCTTAGTATGAAACTCGTCACTAGTGTGCATCTGCGACTCCGTGCTCTGTAATTGAATCCAAGACGCTGAGATTTTTGACCACTTAGTCGGCATCCAGTGGTGTTAATGCCTAACTTCATTAGTTAATCACATCTTAAATAGTATCTAATCATAATAATATTCAACCAACACCAAAGTCACAATTTTCAATACAAATGTTAAGACAGTTCTACTGTATGGGGTGCGGAGATTCGGAGAACCACGAAAGCCATCGTCTGGATGGTACAAGTGGTTATTAACAGTTGTTTACGCAAGATACTGAGGCTCATCCATTGGTCAGCTACCATCAGCAATAACTAATAACCTACGAATATCCTCAACGCTTACCTGCCATGTTTCACAGTCATATAGTAGAACGGAGCGAACTGCTGCGCAGTACACTCGTCCTTTAGTCAGCAAACGGATATCTCGCCTGCACCATAGGTTACGCAAGCTGGCAAAAGTCAATCAAGCCTTCTGTATCTGTGCTGAGTTTCGTCAGTCACCAGACTATCGGCACTAATTAGACTCCTGAGATAAGTGAAGCGGTCTACACGTTCAACTGCTTCATTTTCTATCTCGAAGCAGCATTTTGCATTTCGATGGGAAAACCGCACCCCTAACATGCATGTATTGTTACTTAGAATAGTCAAAAGACACTGCATTTTTTTCAGCGCCTTCGCCAAATAGAACTATATCATCAGCATACTCTAATTTAGTAAGCGTGTCTCCTGCTAGTAGGTCCACTCCTGAAAGGTCAGACTATGATTATGTTAACTCTACGACAAAGTTAAACAAGAATGGAGAGAGTGGACATCCCTAACGGACACAACTTGAAGTAATCAATTCCAATGACAGTTTGCCATAAGCTCTCACTCGACCAGAGCTCATGGCAATGTGGGTTGGACACATTTTGCAGAAAGCACCTGACTTCGTCACAAGACAAGCCCTAACTTGGAATCTCCAAGATCGAAGGAAAAGAGGAAGACCAAAGAATACATTACACCAAGAACTGAAGACAGAAAAGAACAGGATGAACACAAGTTCGATAGAATTGTAAAAGAAGCCCCAAGACAGAATAGGTCGGAAAACGTTCGTTGTTCGGCGACCGATATTCCGTTATGGATCACGGGTGGAAGTAAGTAAATACGTAATGGTAATATTACATCACCTCTATACATCCGTTAGCCAGCTACCATCAACAATAACCTACAGTTGAAGAGAACAAACCAAACTGCTCCAATTGAGCAATAAATTAGGATAAAAAAGCGCTTGAGGTTTGATAGGAAACTCATTGAGGAAAGCACCCGACTGCGTCACAAGGCATGCCCTAGCGTGTAAGGATTTCAAGGCGAGAAGAGAAGAGATATAAAAAAGACCACATTACACTGAGAATCGGGAACAAACATGCAACGGCCCAACAGTAATTGGTTAGAACTGGAAAGGAGGATGGTCCGAAGACAGAGTAGGTTGGAGAATGCTGGTCGGTGGATCACAGGTGTAAGTAAGTAAGTAAGTAAATAAGTAGGTAATTGTTTGGATATTCATCCAATATCCTAAGAGAATTATTATTGGTCAAACCCTATTGGTCGATTTCTATTGGTTAAAATTATGGTCGTTATAACTGTCAAAGTCAAATACTTCAATGTTATTTCTTATTGGTTGTCCTGACTATCAATGTCACTTCAAATGCTTATTTCCTATTGGTCATCTTAACTGTCAATGTCACAGAATTCGATGCTGTTTCCCATTCGACCAAAATGTATAAATATCTATACATCTATTGCTGCTGACTAATATTATAAAAAATAATCAATATTTATTGATTTTTTTATTTACTTATCTATTTTAATCATAGAATATCATACAAGTCATTTGACACATCTTTGGTTACATCATAATTGTTTGAAATCATTGCGTTTGGTGAATCCCACAAATTCTTCAATGCGCAAACAGTCAACTCCATCTGGATTGTTAGAAAAAAGCATAAATCTAGCCAAAATTTGTCCAAATCTCATTTATTTAGATGTTAGTTATAATGCATTGGAAAATTTCAGTGATTTATTCTTATGCCCAAAATTGATGAATTATATTGATTTAAGTTATAATCAAATGAAATTAATCACTAGTCGATATCATTATCATCGATCTTATCATGAAGATAGTGACGAAGGGGATGACGATGATGATGACGAAGGTGATGATGTGCAATTATCTTCATCATCACCGATGACGATATCGTGTCCATGTTGTTGTGATAAGAATACATTTAGGTGAGAGTATTTGAACTTATGTGTTAAATTGTATTGTCATGAATGTACTTTTGTGTATATAAAAAACCGGAATGAATTGATTGGAAGAAGCGAATTGATAATTTTTTAAGTTGATCGACTTATATAACATTCATGGATCTGTTTTACTTAGTGGATGAAGTAGAAGGTTTCTAATATCATTGAGGATTACTTACTAAATTACTTACGGCTGTTATCCCCCGATAGAGCATGAGCTGCCGACCAGTATTCTCCAACCTAATCGAACCTTCCTTTTCATTTCTGTCCGATTTTTGTTCAGTCTTGTCATGCCTGTTTCCGTTTCTCAGCGTAGTGTGTTTTCCGGTCTTCCTCGTTTCTTTTAACCTTTAGGTTTCTAATAAGGGCTTGTCTTGTGACAAAGTTGGGTGCTTTCCACAGTGTGTGTCCTATCCACTTGCAGCGCTTCTTCCTAATTTCTTCCTCTGCTGGAATCTGGTTTGTTCTTTCCCACAGTGGGTTGTTGCTGATGGTGTCTGGCCAACGAATCCGAAGTACTTTGCGTAGACAACCGTTAATAAACACTTTTATCTTCTGGATGATGGCTTTCTTAGTTCTTCAAGTTTCCGCTCCATTCAGTAGAACTGTCTTGACATTTGTATTGAAAATCCTGAATTTAGTGTAGATTGATAGTTGTTTTGAGTTCCAGATATTTTTCAATTTGTTACGCCTGCACGTAAACACGTCAACTTGATATACTTGAACTATTACGAGTTTATTATTAAATACTTGTATCTTGTGGATGATGGCTTTGTTAGTTCTCCACGTTTCCACCTTATACAATAAAACTGTCGTAACATTTGTATTGAAAATTGTGACTTTGTTATTGGCCGATACTTGTTTTGAGTTCCAGATGTTCTTCAGTTGAGGAAATGCTGTCCTTGCTTTGCCGATCCGCGCATTCACATGTGCATCATCGTCACCTTCATCGTCAATGATGCTGCCCAAATATGTAAAGGTTTTTAATCATCGAGGATAAGGTAGGCGTAATGTAAGTTAGAGGCAATTATCCAGTCATGCTTGGTGTTCAACAATTCTATCTAAATTATATTAGTCTATGATATTTTCTAGACTGGAAGTTAGTAGTGCCCATAATTGGTATTGATTTCTCAAAGAAATGCAATTTATTAGTTGATTCGGGCTGATATCGACTTATGCATGGCGACTGTATCACTGTAACAATAGAAATAACCACCGACCACATATCTGTGAATTTCGTGGTATCAAAAAAACAAACCCGATCCATATAAGTCGCCGTTAACAGAGTTCTTTTTTTGACATCAAGAAGTATCTTACAATAATGCAGATCTCAAAATATACCGTCCAACACCTCGATCATGATTAGTTGTGATGGTCCTTAAACCTATCGTTGTTTGCAACTTTGTTTTGATTGTATCCCCTTTTTGATCTGTTTCTTGATCCTATGTTTGCCTATAATTTTCCTGATTGGTTGATAAATTGGGTCAATGTCGATGTGTGTTTGTTGATTGCTGATTGACCTGAGTGCCAAGCTTCTAAAAATTCTCTAGTGTTCTTTGTCCTCCCCCTATCCAGTATTTCCACATTGTCCCAATCGAATGTATGTCCATAATTGTCGGTATGTATTGATATAAGCGAAGAGTTGTCGTGGCGTTTGACTGTTAATTGGTGTTCACGTAAACGAAGCTGAAGAGGCCGTCCACTTTGTCCTATGTAGTGATTTTGATAATCTGAACAATTTATTTTGTAGATTTGGTTTTTCTTCCTTTGTCATTTTGTCCTTTGGTCTACATAGAATTGATTGAAGTGATTCTGTTGGTTTGTGTGCAACACCTATTCCAAATGGTTTCAGTAGTCGAGCTGTATGCTCCGATATGTCTTTGATGTATGGTAGGATGATCCGTTTATTGGTTCCTGTACTTGATTTTGCTTCTGTTGACGGTTTCGGTTGATGTTTTTTGATGAAGCTGCGTGGATAGCCGTTCTTTGGGTCCGAGTCCAGAAGAGAATCAGGATCCCGGACTAAGGATCCGGGACCGGGTCCTGGTCCTGGTCACAAAAGGTTACAGATAATGCATATTTATACATTCAGGTCGAATATGAAACAGTATCGAAGTGTGTGACATTGACAGTTAAGTTGACCAATAGGAAACAACATTTGAAGTACCATTAACAGTCAGGACAACCAATAAGAAACAATAATGGAGTACATGACATTGATATCTAGGACGATCATAATATTGACCAGTAGGAATTAACCAATAGGAATTGACCAATAATAATTCTCTTAGGATATTGGATAAATATCCTAACAGGTACATATTTCAACAATTACCAATCAAAACTATATCCTGCGGATTAATTCAACTCCTTTCATATTGTGCTTTTCACCGATTTTGTATACATTATTCAATATTGTTAGGTTCGTCACTTAGTATGCTTGAGGCTATTACGAGTTCATCTTAGTCGATAAACGCGAACTAGACTTTTACCAGCGTCCAGGTAGGCTACCTTGAATCCAAACGGTAAAACAGAAGTCTTGATAAGCGTAGAAAGTATATTCTACAAACACCCAGCAATCACACAATACAATCAAGCACACAACTCTCGTTTATTTATACATCATAGAAACGTCCTTCAGACAGTTACAAAAATAGCACACTAAAATACACAGCAGTCAATCACAGCCATGGTTTCTCCAGGTGGGAAATGAAATCTCAAGTTCAAGTGATCAGCCCATGCTGGCAAACGTGAAAACTAAAATAAGGCATTTATCAAGCGAATTTTGGGGATCTAACATCCCCAACAAATATGCTATTCTGTTTTCACATTTTTCAATATACAAACAGCACCACTATTACTATAATTATTATTTCTTCTCCTTTTAACATATTTAGCAATTCAAATCAATTTACATGTAATTATTTCACAAAACTGGAACATCTCAATTTAAGAGGCAATCAATTTCACATATTCTCTTGTTGTTATTATTATTATTATCGCTACACTAAGACAATGCGCAAACTTAATCAATTCAAGGTAAATTTTTTGGTGAATAATATATTCTTAATGGTCAGTAAAATGCATTTTACTATTTTTATAAAAAGCTTTGAGTAGAGCCCTAACGGAATTGGAAATTTGTGAGTAGAATAACTTCTTGTGCATAAATAAATTTAAACAAACATGACCTTGATATATATCAATACTGGTCAGAGTAGCTAACCAGAGAGGAAGCGTAAACAACCAATCAGAAAATGATTTAGATCAGTATAAATGTTGGCTCAAATTATTTTTCCATTTGAAAACTATCATTAAATTACAAAAGTTGAACAATTTCAGAATTGTTCTTAAAAATATTTACTGTCTTAATCCTGTTAACCCTAATGGAGCGTAGACCACCGACCGAACAGCATTCTTTTAGTCCACTTCGTCCTGGGCCTTCCTTTCTAGTTCATTCTTTTGGTGTCTGTCTTCAATTCTTGGCGTAATGTGTTCTTTGGTATACGTCTTCTCCTTTTAATCTTGAAGATTTCTAGTGACGGAGCCTAGAGCCCTTCTGGGGTTACTGTCGGTCCTAAACTCGCAGGAGGACTTAATGACTCTATCTCTCAGAAAACCAACTCGCTAAAGAAAAACGTTAACCGGAAAATGATTCAAACCATTTTAATATTTATAACTAATTGACTAGTTGATATTGTTAATCTATGCTTAATTTTAATCAATTGATATCCTTCATATCCTTTATATTTAAGAATTTAGGGATACTATCCCTAACTCAGGTCTCATATGGTCGGAAATAATGAAAGTTTTGCTGTTGCAATAAAAACGTCTTTCGATATGAGGCAAAGGGTAGTAATTGTGTTTGAGCCCCCATTTGCATCAAGCTGGGCTGCATCTCTTGTTATCCTATGCCATACGATGTATATACCATGAGGTATATTGCGCTATGTAGAGCTGAAGGTTTTCTATGAGACCAGAGGTTTTGCTGTGATGAACATTGTGTATAGCTTGGCATTACTTTGGCAAGTTTTGTTAATAGTCCATATCCGAAGATTGGTTTGCAAAGTGACCGATTTCATTGATACTGATGGCGGTTGTCTTGCAATATTCGCTAGAGCCATTCGGACCCTGTAATGTATATCACCATTGCTAATGGTAATGAGTTTGTGACAGTCATGTAAGTGGGATGGGTCAAATTGGCCTGTTTATACGGTGAATTTTGATTGACTCAGATTGGGAATAATCTTCATACGCACTAGTGTATATAAATGGTGTGAATGGTCGATCGTAGCGTCAAGTACCACCTGTGTGTGGGATCGCACCACACGATTGAGCTGTACTGTTCAGTTTGTAGTGTTTAACATCTGAACAGTGTCTGTTCCTCTTCTGAAAACCAATATTAAATTACCCTTGCCCATCGGGAGTAGATTTGTATAATTATGTATAATAGAAGTTTTTTTTGAAATCATAAATCGATCAGTGTTAGACCACCATTAAAAACCTGCAAGTACTGGACGGCCGTTTCGTCCTGGTATGGGACTCATCAGTAGCAGTGCGCATCCACGACTCCTGCACCTCGCAAGATTCGAACCCAGGATCTTCGTTCTTGCGCGCGAACTCCGAATCTTTGAACTGCTGACTGTTAAGATATTCATCCAATATCCTAACAGAATTATTATTGGTCAATTCCTATTGGTTAATACCTGCTGTTTAACATTATGGTCGTCCTATTCATCAATGTCACGTACCTCTGTGTTGTTTCTTATTGGTCATCTTGACTAATAATGTCACTTCAAATGTTGTTTCCTATTGGTCGTCTTAACTGCCAATGTCACAGACTTTGATACTGTTTCATATTTGACCTGAATGTATAAATATGCATTATCTGTATCGTTTTATGACCAGGACCAGGACCCGGTCCCTGATCCCTAGTCCGGGGTCCTGACTGTGTTCTGGACTCGGACTTCGTACTTTATGAATGCTTGTAGAATACATGTCCTACTTTATATCAAGTCTTCTTCTTTTACTCAATGGGGTGTTGGGACACTCGGATTAGAGTAGCATGTCGTATTGCTGGATCCTCTATCCTTGCTTTCGTTTATTTACTAAGATGAACTCGTTATTGTTCAAGCATATCAAAATTACATGTTTATGTGCATGCGTAATGCTGATCTAGTATCTAACGTTAATGTCTAACTTCGATCAATTCACGGTGTTTGCGCAATCTCATACATCGTCTTGGGTGAGCAACTGTTTCACACCCAAACAGGCTTAAACTCCACTAATCACGACTTCTCACTAGAACTCGGTAAAGATTCCTCACAGAGCTAGTCACTAAGTTACTAATATAAATTCTATTTAAACAGAATTATTATTATTATTATTATTACTATTATCGTTATTTTATGCCTTGTATTTATGCCTTTAGATATTCAATGAATCTCAACTGTTTCAATCATCTCCATTTGATATACAACGCTCATTATCATCATCATCATCATCGCTGACCAACAAATCACATGGATTATTATTTCCAGCATTGAAATCATTAGATTTAAGTGAAAATCCTAATTTGAAATACATTTGTCCTAGTCTATTAGGCTTAATGCATTTACAATATCTTTCATTGGATCATTGTACAAGCTTAAATGAGGTAAATTATTGGGTTTTGTTTTTCCCTCTTTATTCTCATGCCCCTTTTTTGTTGTCTGTGAATGTAACATGTTGGCCATATATATAAAGTTCTCCTTATCGTGTTACTGTAATTATTATTAGTTATACGTTGTGACTGTTTTGATGAAACAGGATTTGTTTGTGTACATGAAAATACTGACACTGATGTTAAGCAATGTCCTATCAGTCAGTTAGTCTGTTAGCTACAACATAGAACTTCGTATGCGCATATACATCAGTTCGCATTCTCATATCACATTAGCACAGAGAGTGTTGAGGATATGTTAGATCCCCCAGAACTCGCTTGATAAATGTCTTAATTTTTGGATTTTATGCACATGGGCTGATCAGTTGACCTTGTGATTACATTTACCTCCAGGAAAATTCTCGGGTGTGATTGGTTATTACTGTGTTATTTTAGTGTGCTATTTTTGTGACTCCAAAAAAAGTCGTTATGATGTATAAATAAACGCGATTTGTGTGCTGGCTGAGTGTTTGTAGAATACACTTTCTACGCTATATCAAGACTTCTCGTTAGTATTTTTGGGTCAACGGATCAGAGTAGCCTACCTGGACTCTGGTTCATTGTCTTGTTCTCGTTCATCAACTATGGTGAACCCGTAATAGTTTTAAGCATACCTAGTGACGAGCATAACAGAGAGATCGAAGCAGCATCCTGTATTATATACCATATTGAAAGTTCATAATATTTTATGTATATAACATATTTGGCACAAGTTCTGGACATTAAAAGCTTCAATTTGTAGTTTAGAGGGGTGTTTCAGGAGACCAGGAATTAACGTTTCATGTACTCAAATCTCATGCATCTGCGGCGCCAGGTTATTACCTGACGAGAAGGGTTAGTCCAGGAGATAAGAGTGTGATTAAGAGGAAGTGGGTGATGGATTTGATTGTGACCAAGTTAATCTCATGTGCTGTTACGAGTGTTCAGTGTGGATGTCATTTCCTGGCTGCTCATACCATGGAGCTGTGTTTCTTGAGGAACCGGAAAAAGAAGTACAATTGCTGTTAAATTTACATCTTGACTTTCATTGTTTCAATAAACCAGTTGAGTGAAGTTGAACACTTTGGTTAAACACTCTTTGGTTTCAGAGAAGAACTTTCATCTATGATAGAAGAGAATATTATGATTGCAGATAGGTTTAACGAAATACAGGGTGATGTAATGTTTTATGCGAAAATATATCTGAGGGTTATGAGTAGTGTTTAAGACTATGATTGTAATTGGAGTTTAGATTACTATTTGTTATGCTCGTCAATTGATATGCTTGAAACTACTATTACGAGTTCACCTTAGTCGGTAAACGAGAGACAAGACACGATAGGCTACTCTAAACCAAGCGTCCCAACGAGCCCACTAAGTAGAAGGATGAAGTCTTGACAAGATGTAGAAAGTGTATTCTACAAGCACTCAGATTATATTAGGTTGACAAGCACACAAATCGAGTTTATTTATGCATGATAGAAACGTCCTTGGGAGAGCCACAAAAATAGCACACTAAAATAACACATCAACCAATAACAGTCTAGGATTTTCCGAGTGCGAAATGTAATCTCAAGGCTAAGTGATCAGCCCATGCGCGGAACCACAAAATACAAAATTAGCACCTTAATCAAGTGAGTTCTGGGGATCTGACGTCCTCAACGCTATCAAAAGTAGAGTTTTAGGTTATGATATAGGGTAAGGGTACTTTTAAACTAATATTATATTTTAAGCTTTCACTATGATACCAATGTCAAACTTGAACAGTTATACTTTCATAACCAACTGAGAAATATATAATTAATCGTGTAAAAGCGATTTATTCTTTAGAAATTCTTTGATTTTCTGTTATAATCCAATCACTCATATTTACTGTTCTCTAATTCATCAATACATGTCAAAGGTTAACTTAGAAGTGACTTAAGTTCGAAATTCGCATGTGTTGTGTCTTGTGACTCCTATCAAAATTCTGATATAATATTTGGGGTATTATTCGCCCTATGGCTAAATGTCTCTAACTTGGCCTACTGTCGAGTCGGTAAAAAGCTATCATCTAATTGGTTCACTATTCGCAAGTTCCTCTTTATACCGTACATTTGGGTCCAAAAGTCAGCTATCAGACTCTATTATGCTTTATGTTTGAGACAGACGTCGTTCATATTGAGATAATGGACTTTACCGCACCCAAAAATGTGAGAAATGACAATTATACAACAATTAAGCAAGCCAAAAATGGACCATGAATAGAGGGGACTGAGTAATAGACTGTCAACAAACTAGAAATAATAAATCCAGGAGAGTAGTTTGTGACCGATTCGATCTCGTGTGTTGTTACAAGAATGCGAACGGATGTTACTTCCCAGCTGCCCACACCGTTGAAGGGTGCTTCTTGAGGAACCTGAAGAGGACGGTACATTAGTGTTTGTCTTACAGACCTGGAAGGGTGACCACAGAGACCAAGGGACAACTACTTGAGGCCGGGCACACATGGTCTTTTTATGTGATCTCTTGGAAGTGTTTGCTCCGCTCTTCAAGTGGCCTTAACACCGGAGACGGAAATCCGTGATGTGCCATTTTTAGAGTCGACCTTTTCTAACCCCTTCCTTGTGAGAAGGCAGCATCACTGCAGATTCTGGTTGTCTGAGGGAGACACTTTACTGCTGTCATACCCCTCTACAGTCATTAGTACAACTTCGCCCTCAGACCTTGAGTAGCCGTTGTTTTTAGTCTCATTGTTCTCCAATCGACCTGTCTAGCATGGTAGAACATATATTCCAGCCAACATAGCTCGGTTGGAGCATCCACCATAGGCAAGCCCGACCACCACATCAAGGTAGCAGCTATGGTCGGCAATTTAACTCAAAGCTTATGATAAACGGATCCACAGTTATCTGGTTACCTGCTAATTATACTATGAATATAAATATATATGTATAATCTGTAAATTAGTTCTTCCAATTACCATTCATTCAATGTTCATGTTTATGTGTTCATTCTGCCTCAAATTCTTTTTTTTTCAGCTTCCTGGTGATTTATATCGTTTATCTAATTTACAAAATATTTTATTAAATAAAACACCATTTATGAAATATTTAGCTCCAATTATTGATCCAACATTGAAATTTAATCAATACATTGGAATGACTAATCATCATCATCATGATAATGCTAAAAATGATGTGAATGATTATCCAAATTTAAATGAACCTATTTATACACCACGTATTGTGTCATATTTGAAATCAATCACAGATCAGTAAGTATGCCTTGATGCCCACCTGTATGTATGTAGATTTTATTTTTTTTTATTTTTTGGTTTTCGTTGTACGGCTGTTTTGAATTTCCTCATTTATTTTAAATATTTATCGGATGTTCGTAGCTGCTTGCTACCATGATGTGGTGGTTGGGTTTGACTATTGTGGATGATCCAACTGAGCTATGTTGATTAGGGCATTTGTTCCTGTAGGTCGTACCGTGCCAGACAGGTCGATTGGAGAACGATGAGACTAAAAGCAGCTACTCAATGTCTGAGGGCGAAGTCTTACTGCTGACTATCGTAGAGGGGCGTGACAGGAGTAAAGTGTTTCCTTCGGACAACCAGCATCTGCAGCGATACTGCTTTCTCAAAAGGAAGGAAGGGGTTAGAATAGGTCGACCCTCAAAATGTCACTCCTCAACTTGCCTCACGGATTTCTGTCTCCAGTCAAGCATATTCAGGATGCGGTCTAGCATGTTCGGGATGCAGTTTTCCCCCTCGAAATGCAAAATGTTGCTTCAAGATAAGGTTTCATCGGCACCTGAACTAGTGATATGGAGTGAAGTAGTCGAGCGTGTTGACTGCTTCAATTATCTGGGAAGTCTCATCAGTGCCGATGGCCTGGTGACTGACGAAATCTCAGCACGGATACAGAAGGCTCAATTGGCTTTTGCCAACCTGCGTCACTTATGGCGTAGGCGAGATATCCGTTTGCTGACTAAAGGACGAGTGTACTGTGCAGTGGTTCGCTCCGTCTTACTTTATGGCTGTGAAACATGGCCAATGAGAGTAGAAGATATTCGTAGGTTACTGCTGGTTTTCGATCATAGGTGTCTTCGAAGCATTGCTCGTATACCGTGGGACAACCGAGTAAGCAATGCTGTCGTTAGGAGACGAGTACTAGGTAAGGATGGCAGATCAATCGATAAAGTGGTGAAACTTCATCAGTTGAGGTGGTTGGGACATGTATGCCTAATCACCGACTGCCTCGACGAGTTTTGTTTTGTAGTGTAGGAATAGGTTGGAAGAAAGCTAGGGGTGGCCTAACCAAAACATTACAGAAATCCATGAAGTCATTGACGAGTGGACTTAGCCATGTCGGTAGTTGTCGACTACCTGGTTGGGGTCCGTGAGATGATAATAATCGATGGTTAGATACCCTGAATGACATGGCTCAAAACCGTTTGCAATGTCGCCGGTGCATTCATTCTTTGTGTTCTCTCAAATCCTAATCTTCTGGGTTATTCAACACCCCTCGTTTTGTCTTTCCAAACTTTTCTCACTGAATGTAGGTCTGAGGGCAAAGTCGTACTGCTGACTGCAGAGGGGTGTGACAGCAGTAAGGTGTTTCCCTCAGACAACCAGCATCTGCAGCGATGCTGCCTTCTCACAAGGAAGGAAGGGTTAGAAAAGGTCGGCCCTAAAAATGTCACACCTCCCCTAACTCACGGATTTCCGTCTCCTTGGGTAAGGGTGCCCACTAAGGGCCTTTAAGAACGGAGCTAATCCTCAAACAACGTTTCATAAAAAGGCCGTACGTGACCGGCCTCAAGCAGTTGTCCCTTGGGCTCTGCGGTCACGCACCAACACTAATCTATCTTCCTTTTCAGGTTCCTCAAGAAACAACCTTCCACGGTGTGGGCAGCCGGGAAGTGACAACCGCCCTCATACCCGTAACAGTACACGAGACCAAATTGGTCGAAATCAAATCCTTCCTACACCCCGTAGTACCTCTCACTGAATCATACTTGTTGAATAATATCTTCTAATGCTAACCTCTCCGATTACTTGTAATACCTTTACTACCTCTTCTACTATTGGATTTGAATTGACAATTATATCTCTGTGCTGATGTGGTGGTATGGCGACATGAACTGATATACTTACGTACAAAGTTCTACGTTGCATCTGGTTGACTGAATCTGTCACATCAACATTCAAACAAGTTTTGTGTGTTAATCATAACTAAGAACTAAACTGAACTTGAAGATTTTATTTTCGGTATTCGGTTAAAAAATTTTTTTTGTCATACTTTTCATTGGTTTATTTTTTTTTTAAAAAACAGATCAAATCCATTTACTCGATTTCGTGTCATGGTTGTTGGTCCAACAGGAGTTGGCAAGACTACATTAGTTCGTTTATTAAAAGCATCTGAGTCGGCTGGTGAATCGTTTTGTCGTAATAATTCCAATGAAAATGTAAGTTTACTATGTAGTTCATTTTGAACTGTTTCTTTTTTCCAACTTTTTGCCTCTTGTCCTGTATTGGCCCGTGACTAAAGACCAACCTCTGGTTCTTGGACAGAAGCGCGAGCGGTCAGTAGAGTTGGCCATGTTATGTACGAAGTAGAGGTTGAAGGTGATAGAGATGGTCACGCCATCGAAATCAGATACGCAAACGGCCAGCTCCGGATCGCCCATCAGCAGAAGTAAATTCTTCCTTTGACATCCTGCTAGATACACTCAACCTACCGGCTTCCCCAAACCACGAGAAAAAACTCAACAACTAGCTGATCTCCGTTCCAGAAAATATCCTCTCCGGCAGCGGCGAACAATAGTCAAGATGCAAATCTACCCCAGGAACGTACGCTATTAAAAGGGAGGAATGTTGGGGACTTCAGATCCCCAGAGCTAACTTGATAAAGGTCCTAATTTTGGATTTTTATGTTTTTGCGCATGGGCTAATCAGTTGACCTTGAGATTACATTTCCCACCCGGAAAATCGTTGACTGTCATTGGTTGATGTGTTATTTTAGTAGGCTATTTTCGTGGCTCTCCAAAGGAAGTCTCTATCTTGTATAAATAAGCTCGATATGTGTGTGCTTGTCAACCTCATATTTTCTGGGTGCGTGTAGAATACACTTTCTACGCCATATCAAGACTTCTTCATTTAGTTAACAGGGCCGAAGACAGTTGGATCAGAATAGCCTATAGTATCATTGTATCGCTTGTCTTCGCTCTTGTTTACCGACTAAGGGGAACTCGTAATAGCATTCAAACATGTCAACTGACGAGCATATCACCTTCCGTAAACATGTAGTCGACAGTAAATCCCATTGACTTCAGTTGTTGTGACTTGTGGAATTCATTCATTTCGAAAATGAAATAGTTATTATCAGTGAGATTTGACAATCGTCAAGTCTTATCACAAATAGAATGAAATTGTTGAAATCGTTCAATTGGTTAATCCATTACCGTATTGACCGGAAGCTTCTGATTTTCCTCTTCAGCTGGGTTGTGAGTGATATGCTTGAAACTGCTACGAGTTCACCTTACTCGGTAAACGGAACGAAGATCAATAATGCAGTGACACGATAGGCTGCTCTAATCCGATTGTCAAGAAGTCTTGATAAGGAGTAGAGAGAACGTATTCTACAAGCACCCAGAAAATACGATGTAGCTACTAAGCACACGACTGAAACTTATACAATGATAGAAATGCTCTTGGGTGAGCCACAAAATAGCGTACTAAAATAGTCCATCAACCAATGACACTCAAGGATTTTCCGAATGGGAAATGTAAGCTGAAGGTCAACTAACCGTCTCTTGGCGCGAAAACATGGAAATTTACAATTTCAGGAAAAACAATTAAAAAAATTAGGACTTTTTCTAATATTGACTGAACACTGTATTCAACCATCACGTACTAGGATGAAACTGTTATGCTGGACAATGTATGTGCTTGAAACGATCACGAGTTCATCTTAGTCGGTAAAGGAGAACTAAGACAAGTGATCCATTGACACGATAGGCTACTCTAATCCGAGTGTCTGATGCCCCCACCAACGGTATCAAAAAGTCTTGTTATGGCGTTGAGAGTGTATCCTACAAGCACCCAGAAAAAGTGGAGCATAAAACTTTACAGACAATGCGTATTTACGCAGGTCGACCTTGAATACTAACCAATCGGGAATAAGGTTGAAAAGTATGTGAACTTGATAGTTTAGGTCGACCTTAAATATTGACCAATAGGAATTGACCAATTGAATTAGACTCACAAAATAATTTCTTTAGGATACTTGATAAATATCCTAACATAACAACTTTCCAGTACTTTCTAGAGTTCTTAGTGTTGGTACCGGAATTGAGAATATAGTTCATAACAAATCGAACCTACATGTGTAAATCACATCTGTAATTTCAATGATACAGTGAAGAGACTGTCCATTAAATAGTCCAAGTACATAATTTTCAATTATTGATTCGGTTTCCTAACTCACACTTATGACTCATTGTCAGACTGATGATACAGTATTATATTTTGGTGGAGTTTCAGCCTCTAAGCGAGATGTTTTAGTTGTAGAGCTTTCACTGTTTTACTGAACAACATCATCATCAGCAGCACAAACTTCAGGTAATCAAAGTGAAATATTCGAATTTCTTCACGTATAACTCGGAGCTTGTCCTATTGACCTTGACCGTGATTGGTTGTGATTGAAATACCTGAAGTTTGTGCTGATAATGCTGTTCAGAAGAAGAAGAACAATAGTTAAGGCTCTGTAGTGTGTCGATTTATTGCGTGTTCTTAAGCTCGGTAATTAGCTCGTTTTGACAATCGTTTCTAAATGGCGTCTGAAGGTTATAAATCAGAAGGTGAACTCGTAGTGATGAATACGTCCATTTTTGGGACACACCACAAAGCAAAGTGGAGATGCAGTGAATAGAACGAATGAAGCGACGTGAATTGGATAAGACTGTTGAGCCAACTTCTAGGATTACAATGCGAACAAATGGGCGAAGAAAGCGAATGAATAGAAGTGCGTTGGAGAAGGCTAATGAGCCAACTTCAAGAGATAGATCATGACTAAGAATGTATATAGTCAGACAAATATAAGACAGACATGCAACAAGCGAAATAGGCACACATGAATAAAAGCGACGAATGATTGACAAGGTCAAATGACAAGTGGGACACGTCATGTGAGCTCATCGTACAAACCAGACAATAATAATAAGAACGAATGGTACATATAAATTGTCGCAATACAAATAATGGCTTGGTTAAATAAATTAATCGAAAGGGCTTAATCAAATTAAATGTAAGCGAACTGGAATCATATGTGGAGGCACTACAGCTCCACAACCAAAGCATTCAACTCCACCACAATCATATCCACCTGAGTTACAAATTATTTCTTCTACCATCTCACAATATTTTATAAATGCATTTATTACTAACTAACTTTCTACAATTGAAAAATATCTGGAACTTGAAACAAATATCAAACAACACCAAAATCAGGGTTTTCAGTACTAATGTCAAGACAGTTCTACTGTATGGAAAGGAAACTTGGAGAACAACGAAAGGCATCATCCAGAAGATACAAGTGTTTATTAACAGTTGTCTTCGCAAAATACTTCGTATTCGTTGGCCAGACACCATCAGCAACAACTCACTGTGCGAGAGAACAAACCCAGATATCAGTGGGGGAGGAAATCAGGAAGAAGTGGTGGAAGTGGATAGGACACACACTACGAAAAGCACCTAACTGAAGACAAGCCCTTACATGGAACCTTCAAGGTCGAAGGAAAAGAGGAAGACCAAGGAACACTTTCGCCGAGAAATAGAGAAAGACATGAGAAGAATGGACAAAAACTGGACAGAATTGGAAAGGGAAGCCCAGGACAGAGTTGGTTGGAGAAAACTGGTGGTCGGTCTATGCTCCTCTATTGGGGGTAACAGGCGAAAGTAAGTAAGTAAATAATTTATTGCCAACTTACTGGTGATTCATAATTATTCTCGAATTTCAACTGAGATTATCTCTTTTTATCAATAAATAAAAAATCTAAAATAATTTTTTGATTATTTGTTTTATATATAGCCATTGAAAACCGCCGACATGCATACATCTTCATCATCAACATCGCCAACATTACAATCGATTGAAACGGATCATCATTTCATGCGACCAGATCAATTGGTACCATCAGTTCAAATAACAAACTTAACAATCAATCGTCCTGATAATAAAAATCAATCTAATCAGTCTATTAATTCAGTAGTAAGTCTGAATGATGAATTGGTGTTGTGGTTTAACAATTATTTTTTTCGGGCTAACCGACTAAAGCTGCTATCTTAATGTGATGGTGGTCGGATGTGCTTATCATGATGACTAAACCGAGCTAGGTTAACTGTGACACACATACTTCGAGGTTCTACTATGTCAAGCAGGTTGATTAAAGACTAAAAGCAACAGTATGAGGTTTGAGGGTGAAGTCGTACTGCTGACTGTAGAGGGGTATGACAGTATTATGATTGTTTCCCTCGAACGATCAGCGTCTGAAGTGATGCTGCCTTCTGACCAGGGGAAGACGGAGTTAGAACAGGTCGACTCTGTAAATGTCACAGCTCATCTTATTCCATGGATTTATATCTCCGACGGTTTCTTCATCTCTCTCTCTCTCTCTCTCTCTCTATATATATATATATATATATATATATATATATATATATATATATCAGTCAGCTTTAAAGTAGAACTTCGTACATACATACACCAGTTCAGTTTGCCGTATCATATTAGCACAGAGAGACCGAATTGTCGATTGAAATCTCATAGTAGTAGAGGTAATGTAAGTATTAGCCAGTAATGGAGAAGATTAGAGTTCCAAGATAGTATTCAAGAAGTGTAAACCAGTCAAACAAATTTGAGAAGAAAAAACAGGTTATCAGGAATTGAGAGGATTAGGATTTGAGCGAAGATGCATCTGTGCCATGTCATTCAAGGTCTCTAACCATCGATTACTATCATCTCGGGGACCCCAACCAGATAGTCGACACCTACTAACATGACTCAGTTTAGTTGTCACCGACTTCATGGATTTGTTCCATGTTTTGGTTTGACCGCCTCTAGCTTTCTTCCAACCTACTCCTACACCACAAATCATAACTCGTCGAGACAGCCGGTGGTTGGGCATACGTAGCACATGTCGCAACTACCTCAACTGATGAAGTTTCGATGCGTCATCTATTGATCTGCTATCCCTACCTAGTACCTGTTTCCTAACGACAGCATTGCTTACTCGGTCGTCCCAGGATACAGGAGCAATGCTTCGGATACACCTATGGTCGAAGACTAGTAACCTACGAATGTACTCTACTCTTAACAGCCATGTTTCGCATCCGTATAGTAGGACAGAGCAAACTGCTGTACAGTACAGAGGTTAGGAAGATAGACAGACAGACAGATACAACGCAGAACTTCGTACGTAAGTACATCAGTTCAGGTTGCCATACCCCATCAGCACAGAGACGCATTTGTCAGTTCAAATCCAACAGTGATAGCGATAGTAGAATTATTAGCAGTAATGGAGAAGATTAGGGTTCGAAAATATGATTCGAAAAGTATGATTCAGTGAGATAAATTTTTATGCAGAAAGATAGAGATTATGAGGAATTCAGAAGGTTAGAATTAAAAAGCACACAAAGAGTAGATGTACCTGCGCCATTGCAAACGATTCTGAGCCATGTCATTCAAGGTCTCTAACCATCAGTGACTTTCGTCTCGCGGACCACAACCAAGATAGCGTACATCTACCAACATGACTCAGTTCACTAGCCAGTGACTTCATGGATGTGTGTCATGTTTTGATCTGGCCGCCCATAGCTTTCTTCCAACCTATTTGTAAACCGCAAAACATAGCTCGTCGAAGCAGTCGGTGATTAAGCATATGTAACACATGTCCCAACTACCTCAACTGATCAAGTTTCAACACTTCATCTATTGATCCGCTATCCCTACCTAGTACCTGTTACCTAACAACAGTATTGCTTACTCAGTGGTATATATTTACATATTTATATACTGTTTATTTCGTTTCACTCTTCTATTTTTCTATTTCTTTAATCCAACAGAATGTTTCAAGTCGTATAATTAATAATAAAAATGCTAATAATAATAATAATAATAATACTAGTCATTTCCATGAACAATTATTATTCAGTATTTGGGATATTGAGAAAAACAATATGAAAATTATAAACAGAAGCAATATACCTTCTACTTCTTCTCCTTCTTCTACTACTGATAATGATAATATTATGACAAGTAGTCTATCTAGTGTATCATCTGATTTAGCTTGTCCATCTGAAATATTAATCCATAGTCAATTGGGTATACATTGTGAATTAACTATCTATTTAGTTGTATGGCGTACAACGGATGGTTTATTAGGATTGAATCGAATTACACCGTGGTTAATGAAAATTAAGGTAATCTATATACATATATTTTTTGGATATCGAATTTTATGTATGATGTAATAAAGTAATGATTTATTTTTTTTGGAAAAAACTCTCCAAATTTAGAGTTATGCTTTGTGCTTTGTCCTTTGTTCTGACTGTGATACATGCTAACCTCCTGAAAACAGGTTACTTCAGTAAGAAGGTAGGAGCATTAGAGAGAGAGAGAGTTTTTTTTGGTTCATTAAGTTACCTTACTGTTACGATATTCATCTAATATTCTAACAGAATTATTGGTCAATTCCTATAGGTTAATTCCTACTGGTCAATTTTATGGTCGTCCTAGATATCAATGTCACGTACTCCAATGTTATTTCTTATTGGTCGTCCTGACTGGTAATGTCACTTCAAATGTTACTTCCTATTGGTCGTCCTAAACTGTCAAGGTCACAGACTTCGATGCTGTTTCCTATTCGACCAAAATGTATAAATGCGAATTAGTTGTAACGTTTTATGACAAGGACTAGGACCCGGTCCCGGATCGCTAGTCCGGGATCCTAATTCTGGATGCTTGTAGAATACATGTTCTACTTCATGTCAAGTCTTCTTATTTTAACTAAATATGGGGGTTGGGATAATCGGATTTGAGTAGCATGTTGTGTCGACCGGATCCTCGATCCTCGCTCTCGTATTCCAACTAAGGTATACTCGTAATAGTTCAAGTATATCAAGTTGGCGTGCTTACATGCAGGTGTAACACTTTCGCTCCTGAAAACAACTCTGGTATCTACGTTTTATCTGAAGGCGTTGCGGGAATCGACACCTGTTCGATGATCTTCTTAGTGTTTCGCTGTCATTCATTCTGCATTGCTAATGACTGACTGTATCAGCCACGTAATCCTGTAGTATGTTCGAGCTAAGAGGTTCTTTTTTCAAATTTAGTCGTCCATCTTGAACATCGTTTAATTTTCACGTTAGACTTTTATCTCAAACATTAATTCTGTACATTACATCACCAACTATTTTACGATGACACCTGCTGACCTCTCGAATAAGTTGGTAATCTATAAAGTAGTTGACACTCCGTTCTCTTTACTTCATTATGTCGACAACTTCATGTTTTTCTCTGTGGACACATCGCGTCAAGTGGATTGCAAATCTTTCCTTTGAACATTGCTTTAGTTGTACAGACACTTCATTAGAAAATTAATCCATTTTCTGACCAATGATATA